CATTAGCAGGCCCCCAAAAATGAAATCCTCTAAATATAATCAGCATTTTGAAGTGAATATTGACTAAGAATCATCAGAAGATTTATTTACTATTATTTGTACCAAGATTGATAACTTTCATGAAATATAAACAAATAACAAATTTATTTATTTTTGTGAAAACCTAATCCAGGTTTAGTGACCTAAAATGACCTTTGATCTTGCCTTTGTGTCATATAAATTGTGATACTTGATAACACTTTTGAAATTATGCCACAACAAAGTTTAAGTTTGCAGACCAGAACTGAAATTTGACCTTGACTTTGTCACCTAAAAGACTATTCACATGATTGGTGATACTTGATAACCCTTATGTTCAAGTTTCATGGAATAGGAATGTATACTTTCAAAATTATGATAAACATTTAAATTCTTACCCTTTGGTTAAGTTTTGAGCTTGATGCCACAACATAGTCTAAATTTGTTGACCTTAAATGACCTTTGACCTTGAATTTGTGACCTGAAATTCCATTTACATGATTAGGAATACTTTATAACCCTTATCTTTATTAAAGTTTCATAGAAAATTAATGTATACTTTCAAAATTATGTTAAAAAAAATCAAAATCTTAACCTTTGGTTAAGTTTTAGATGTTGATGCCACACATAGTCTAAGTTTGTTGACCTGCAAATTTGCAATGGCCTTTGACCTTGATTTTGTGACCTGAAATTCTACCTGTGATTGGGGACACTTGATAACCCTTTAGTCAAAGTAAGAAGTTGTACTTTAAAAAAAATAATTCAAAAACTCAACCTTGTGCCATATCTGTGCTCTATTACCCGACACGGCGACAGTATTATCTGCCTCTTCACCATGCCTCCGCCTAAATTCAGTTAAGATCATGGCTTGAATAATTCTTTGAATATCAAAATTGGAACTTACATGTCAATTAGTCTTTACAACCTTTGACCTTTGACCAGACAATCCTCAAATTTGATTACTTTGCTCCCTAGAGTGATGCATAATTGTTAAAGGTTTTGAGTTCACTGCTAAAATACCTTTAAAAAGTCATTGATTTGGTCATTACCAAGTTTTAAAAATTATTATTTTATGTAAAGTGACTTGCAGACCTTTGGCATTTGACCTTCTTTTACCAAAATCTCAATATGGTAACGCACACCAATTGGTATTAGTGCGCATCACCATAGTTCATGGCTTCAATCATACTTGATACATTGCAATTAAGCAGGGCTAAAACCCTGAGAATTCATGAAAATTGACCATAATGACCTTTGACCTATTTACCCCTAAAATCAAATCATCTTCCTATGGGTATACATCTTATCACCAAGTTTGAAGCTCATACATGAATAGTTTCATGAGATATTGCAATTTCAACAAGGTTAATACCTGCAATTTTCATATATTGACCTCTATGACCTTTGACTTTTGACCTACCTACTCCAAATCAACTCAGATTGTTTTCGTATGGTGATACATACTATTACCAAGTTTGAAGTTCATACCCAAAGTGGTTCTTGTGAAATCGTGATAATGAGAGAGTGGGATGGACAGAAGAACCGACCGATGGTCAACCCGAAAACATAATGCCTCTGACACCACTTTCACTGGGCGGAGGCATATACAGGTAACTGTAGCCACTAACCAAGCATCTAACCTTATAATGTGGATGGGGTCTTTATAATGTTTATAGATTTTCAAATAGAGTTTCTTGACATTACATACCATAAATCCACTTTCAGCAACAACAATTTCATTAACCAACTTGATTCTGTACCTGAGTTATCTCTGGATGAAAACCGTTGGAATGCAGGGTTTGAGGAAACTATAATTATCTTTTAACTATTCAAGGGACTTGGTAACATTGTTCAGATGAGAGAAAACAGTGCTAATTAAGGTAGTCACTTCAATGCTAGATGTACAATTAAAGATAATCTGAAAGTGTGAGTGAAAACAGACCATTATTAATGATAAAAATTGGGAAAAACTGATCTGATCAATTCCAGAATTCTAGGTACTATATTAGGTAAATGTAAATCTTCAAAAAAGCAATGAATTGGCTCTATATACCATTCCAAACATTTAGGTGTTGAAAGATTCTTAAAAATTTGTTTTATGTAATATTTTCATGGAAAAAACGGTTGGGAAAATTCAAAAATTGGTTGGGAGAATTTGCTGTTGAGTGTGTCGCACAGTAACGCCTTCAAAGAAAACCATAAATATCTTTGTGGTTTCTTCTTCTTCCTTTTTGAGTACAGACCTCTTTACAGAGTATTATCGTACCATATACGATGTGTGCAGGTTGACCACTACACCGGGGTTACCCCCTACTCTTATACAAATAGTGCAGTGGGTTCTTAACGTGCAAAGGTAGTGACTCTTCTCTACACGGAGCCTCCATTTAACGTCCTATCCAAGGGACAGAGTGTTTTAACATAACCTGCGTCTATGAACAAGGGAAGGGGCATGTTAACACACAACGCAGGCTTCAGTCATCCGTCTGGGTGAGAGTCGAACCCGGGATCTTTGGTTCGGCAGGCGGACGCTTTACCGACTGAGCCAACTCGCCTCGCCTCGTTTGAGAATTTCGTCTGGATTTTTTGCATGTTAGAGGGTTATTACGGCAGAAGGAATATAATAAGTAACTTTTCATATAAAAATTACACAGTTTTTTTACAACCTTCAACAATGTTACCAAGTCACTTTGATTTCTCACAAAAAAATTGTAACCCTTTTCACCATGGTTAAAAATGGTAAATTCATTGATTGTTTTAGGAGTTTACAGGATTGGTAAGATATCAAGTAAACACAGTAGATGATACATGAGCAATCTGAGGAGCTCCAAAGCTATATGTTTTTAGCTTTTCACACAGCCTATTGTTTGTTGCCAATAAGTAAAGTGAATAAATGTCATTATACTGAATGTAATATAAAATGTTAACATTTTTTAAACTTTTGACTCAACAGAGCAAACAGTACTCAAAGCTATTGAACTCAGGCATGAGCCAACAGCAAGTTTGCATGGACTAAAAAGGAGATATTGGAGAGTGGAAAACAATTCTTTCGACAATTGAATGTTGTTACGTGATAAGTGCTACAGTATGACTTCAGTGTTGCCCTGAACATTTCCTTTCCTTTCGTAATGTCAAGCATGTACATGTAGGCATCATTTTTGTTGTTGTTCCAGTACCTTCATGTGCATTAAGTGTAATGATATACATATAGGCCTATACGCATGGATTTTACTTTATTGTCTTGGTCAATATTGACTTACATACAAGGCTTATATTTGTGTGCCTTCATGTACATTAAGTGTCCCCGGTAATGATATAGCCTACGCATGGATTTCACTTTAGTGTCTTGGTCAATATTGAAATTCATACAAGGCTTATATTTTACACTGTTACAAAAGACTGTCATGTAAAGAAAATAATATATAGACATAAAAATAGGATTTCAAAAATATCTTACAGGTATTACCTTTGGGGAAATAATAAGCAGAAATGAACCATATATATATTTCCTGGAAATCTAAGAAAAGAAAATTCCCAGGTGCTACATTCAGAACTTTGAAAGGATATGACTAGAGGCAAGTATTGTGTGATATAAGATCTTCCAAGAAATAATCAGGTCAATGAATCCATTCAAATGGACTTTACTGGAACAAGCCTTTCGCCTGTAATTGCATCAGTAGCCTATACGGGCCTTCACTTCAAGCCTTCGCGTCAAGAGGGAGGGGGTGCATAGTGGCAGAGCTGCCAAACAATAGTTTAATTAAATTTGTTTTTTAAATGAAATCTGCCACATCAGAGATACCATCAAGGATAGTGTTTTAAAGCAAGGAACCACTTTAAACAAATAATGCAAAAGAAAGAAAAACTTTGCAATATGTCACAAAACTCAACCTACATAGACCAACATACATGTATTGTGTAAATGAGGTGTTGAGCACCTTGGGGGTTCTGGCTTGACTAACACACTGTAATGTAAACCCCTTCAGGTTAAGTGTGCTTCAAATTTCTGCATCTTACAACAAAAAGATAAAGTCAGTATGTTTGCTGGCCTTGTTGCATACTGTAGCTACTGTTTAACCCCACTTGCCAAATGGTGTTATTTTGCTGTGGCAGTCTTCTTATTCCAGCTGGCTTACGGTGTCATGTCTGAGCAAAGCTTAAATAATAATGAGGTTGTACAGTCCGACCTTTCTGACAAAATCCCCTGTAATCTTATCATTACAAAACAATAACATTTCAAAAGGATAAATTAATAATGAACAGCTCCCTATCGGCAAGCTGCGATAGGCCAATTTATCAGCTCACATGTCAACATCTTTCAACGAGTGCAGTGCAGTGAAGTGTTAGCCACCGATCAAAACTACATAAGTGGTCCAAATTTAGTAAATTCATTCAATAAGATTGACTGTTCTGATTTAAGCGCACATTTTCATTATGAATTTTAATGTCAAAACCCACCCATCAATGATTGATTCTGAGTGAAAATTTTGTTCTGATTTTAGACAGAAATCAATACAAGGGGTCATTTTGGGACAAAAAGTAATCTAAATGACCATATTGTTGTTGATGGGTGTCAATTTGACCACTGTTTCTAGCATCAGGGCACATTTCACATACAATAGACCCTTCATATCTCCTTTGACCTTGCTGATAATAATGATTGGAAATGTTTTGGCCGAAACGACCAAAACTTCAGGAGTAGGGTCAATACTTAAAATTGAAGTTTTTGGAACCAACTTTTACCCCATAAGCTTTTCAACTTTCCCCACCAAAAATTCTGAAGAATTCCACTTATCTCCTAGGGTATGTATACGATGCCACAGCTGACATTTTGGGATGACTCTTTCCCATAATGCATCACATGAAATCAACTAAACACAGGTGTTGCTAAATGCTGTGAATTGTAAATCTACCGTATTCATCAAAGTTGGTCTGCAAACTTTCTTTATTGGAATTCTCTAACTGCCTTTCAAGTTTCAACATACCTTGCCCACCATAGCAGTCTTAGCACCTAGTCTTGAAGCCATAACACATTGATTAGCTCCCTTTCCTCCAAAACCTGTGCAGAATCGCTTCCCATGGATGGTTTCACCAGGCTTGGGAAATCTTGACACATAGCTAGAGAGATTGATGATTAGAAAAACAATTAAAAGTGGTAAATAATCATGAGTATAATGATTGATGATGATGATGATGATGATGATGATGAAGCTAACCACATTAATACTAGGTAATACTAATGATAATAATAATTATAATAATAATGATGGTCATAATAATAATAATGATACAATAATGATAATGATGATGATCTAGTGAGTACAGGTTCACCTCTTTGACTCGGGGTAGACTCGACTTGTGAGTATTAGAAAAAGAGAAATCCGACCTAATTTAGAACTTCCCTCATAACAAAATGGCTTGAAAATGGCTTTTAGTGGGAAAATAACGACCATTAGATGTGCTGCACAAAGAATGACTAATAAAGATTCAATCAGTTTAAATTTAGCGATTACAAGTAGTGGGTTATTGATGTAGACAAATGCCCATGTACCTATTACAGCTCATTTTGCTATTACCAAAGAAAAAAAGATGTCAGTCAGTCACTCAATAGTGTCTGACAGTGAAGTCTAGAAGGTTAACAAATTTCCTTACATAATTTGAATACTAGGACACTGCTAATGTTTAAATTTTACAGATAGGACATACATGACATATTCAAAATTCGATGTTGACTGCAAAAGGGACATACTACTCTAGAAGAAACCAGAATATCAGAGAAGCAGACTAGTGAATGAAATCGGACCCCAAACATTCAAAGTTATGAATTTCTCTTCTTTTGGGGGACTTTTTATCCATAATAATAATACAGTATACATTTTAGTAGTGCCTCAAACCAAAGTAAAAGGCCCTTGGACACGAGACAAGACAAACAAGATCGAGAGTTGTTGATCCATGACTGTGTCCCAATCCATTGACCAAATTGCAAATTTGAGATTTGCATATTTCCAACATTCATAACTATCTCTATTATTGGTCCGATTTATTTAAACTTTCTTCATTCTGTAACTCATTTTTTCCCTGCTATCATAGAAATGAATTTATTGCAAAGGTTGGATTGCCCTTTACTGTTCTCCCTGAAGGCACATACTCGCTATAGCCAAGCTACCAATTAGATATAAGCCATCTAAGGAGCTCAAGCACTAGCACTCAAGGTATTTCTTCCTACCAGTTACACATTAATTCACCCAGGTCACAGGTGGGGTTTAATGTTTTGACAAAGGCAAAGTAAGTGCTGCAGTAGGACTCAAACATTGTTGTTAAACCGCTAACCATGGCATGGCATGTTATCTTCTTCTTCCTGAAAAGTGCAGGAAGAAGAATTCACAAATATCACAATCGAGTCTGTCCTGTGCTATGGATCCCTGACACCAAATACATAGATCTACATCCTTTTTTTATTTTGTATTTTGTATAGTGTGACCCAAAATTTCTTTTCTCTCCCCTCCCCCCCCCCCCCCCCAAAAAAAAAAAAATTTACATCAAAATTAGATTAGGGTCTAATCAACTTCCAAGTTCCAGACGCCTCGATTTTGCATGATTAATAGTAGACCGAAATTTCAGACTCTTTCGTTCTTAGCCGACCCTACCCTACCCTACCCTACCCAAATCAGAGGCTAACAAACGAAAGAGACAGAAATTTCGGTCTAGATTAATAGCACTCCAGCAAATGACTCTAGATCTAGAGTGTAGTCTAGATCTACATACAATTTGAATTTTTAAATTATTCTTTTTAACATCAGTAAGTTAAACAAATTGTATTTTACTGCTATTTAGGTGTCATATTGTCACTAAAGAACCGATTTGAGGGAAATCAGTTGAGTTTTGTCCAGTGGTGTTTGAAATGTTGAGAATCAATACAACATAGATCTAGATCTAGATCTAGACTCTAGGTCTAGACCCCTACTCCCCTAGTTTTAATACACAGCCAGCGCGTGGATTAAATAATAGGGGTTTAATGTTTACCTTATCAGGTCCATATTACATGATCCTACAATGACGACATCGATTTGGCACTTCTTCATACTCATCTCTAATATTTCAATGTAAACCTACGACAGAAACGATTCCGAATGAACTAAGTGTGCACTGCTGCTACAACCGGTCTTCGGCTAACTAGTATTGACAGCTGTCAGAGACGATGTCTAGGCTACAGGCACCCAACAAAATCAGCGCCCTAAGCTCTGGGGTGCTAGAATCGACGTTTCGATGCTCAAGCGGCGTATGCGAGGATGATTGTGGCCTTGTTCCAGACAAAATGTTTTAAATGTTAAAGTTAAAACAATATCACTCTGAGTCTTGTCAAATCAATCCTATTCATGCAGGACTTACATCCATATTAGTTTAATTATAAATCTATAAAGTTGTCAAAATGTATACTATTTTATGGAAAATATTGGCGTTTCGTGATACTTAGATACTTAAAAAGACTCAAATATCATTGCAAGGCTAACGCGTTAAAGCTTACGTAATAAGTGGGCGGGGCGGGGCACAGAATTTGCGCTAGAGTTGCTTTGCTGAGACTCAAACCAAGGAGGATCCTCCTTGCTAAAACTAAAAGTGAAATTATTTTGTCAACCTCTGGCCAGGCCTAGTCTCAGCGGAGCAACCGTTAATCAGAGACGGAAGATTTTGGTCAAATTGTACCACAGCCCGGATTGTGCTTAACTGGATCGAGAGACACACCAATCCTGTGTATAGTAACATAAAAACGGACAATCAATTAAAACTTATAATATTGTATCATTTATTTGCAACAATTATTTTGGCTCAGGCATCACTTTATTGATTGAAAGAGACTAGATTGTTTCGGGGTTAATTATAGAGCCTAGGAATACCTATGAATGCTTAACCTTGATTTTGTTTTCAATAAGGTTGGTAATGTTTGTTTTGTATTCAAAGACAGTATAGAAATACTACATCCCATAATATTGAGATGTACCTTTTTCTCTCCAGGAAAGTGACATGTGATGTGGATTTTGAATGTTATACTGAACTTGTTCAATCCGTACAAAAGATGCACTTTTTACTTCTGACGGTGCATTTGTTTTTTTCTTTCTAATGAGTGTCCCTTCCCACTTCTTATATTAGTGCCTAATTTCATATTTGATGAGAAGTAATAATAATAATAATAATAACAATAATATTAATAATAATAATAATAATAATAATAATAATAATAATAATAATAATAATAATAATACAATATTTATAAAGCGCATAATAAAAAAAAGTGTCTCTGTGCGCTGTACAAGCATGAATGACGAGAAATATAATCACATAAAAGGAATCAACAAAGAAAAATATACAAATCTTATAACTACTAAAATTACTAACTTAACATAGTAAATAACATAATAAAAAGATAACTAACATGGTCAAAACAAATAAACTTAAGTAAGGATAGTTTAAGCTAATCAATTAAGAGGCCAAAGAGGTGCGTTTTTTGTAAAGATTTGAACGTTGCAGAAGTGAGTGCCTGTCGTATGAAAGTACCCCTATTTAAGCCTAATAGGAGCCCCTTTTACATTGAAAAATGCCCTTTCCCTTTCTAATAAGTGCCCCTTTTCACCTCTGATGAGTGCCCCTGTTTCCTTTCTAATAATTGCCTATTCCCCTTCGTATAAATGCCCATATTTACTTCAATGAAAATTACCCTTTTCGAAAGTATTACGTGCCCTTTCAAATATAGTTCCCCATGTCACTTTTGATCAGTGCCCCTTTTCCTTTTCAATAATTGCCCTATGATAATTGCCCCTTTTTCAGGGGATGCAGCCCTAAATAGTATTTGGTGAGGGGGTGATGCAGATGGTGCTTGTCAGTTGGCAACACTGGGGGGGGGGGGGCTGTCAGCATTGACCCGTATATTTTGGGGCCCTTCTAAGAAAGTCAATTAACACTTTACATGAAAAATGTATTGTAAATAACTTATCAAATTGCTATAAATCTACACAAAATTCATGATAATGTTCTATAAAAAAAAAAACGGGGTCCCTTGAAATCGAAAGTTTGTCACGTTCTACAATAAAATGCCTATGCTTCCAGGGGTTGAAAAAAACAATCATCTTTCCGCTGACAACCTTGAATCCGTCACTTTAATCCATGCACCTTTCCCCCTTTTTAGTTTTATTATATAATAATGTCAATATGTAGATCAAAACACCTAATATCAATATATTCTGCGATTGATGTATATTAAAATGATTTCTCTATCTTAAAATCACTTGATGATTTATGAAACAACAGGCTTCAGATAATGAGAATTACATTTTCTTTTGTTCTTCTTTTATTTTTTTTCTTCCACTTGTAGATTTCGCTCTAATACTTCTGAAATTAAGTTGCCTGCAGGGAAATTAGGAGGGTCATCAGGTCAGAATAAAAGACATGTATTTGCCATGTCTAAGTACTCCCGTCAAAATACCTTATTATAAAACAAAACAAAGGAATATCTTATGGTTAATTAGAAATACATGGACAAAATATTTTTAAAGGGTTACGGATTGATGAGAAGTCTTCGTTTTTTTTTTCAATAGAAATAACTTTGTCTAATATAGATCAGCAAACTTTGCAGCAATCGGGCGATGGATGAATTTAATTTAATTTAATTTACTTTTAATTAAGGAACTTTACATAATTATCTTGATCTAAGGAGACACGAACGAACGAGCAAACTTTAATTAGATGTTAAGATAGATTTTTACTAAATACTAAATAGCATTTGGTGAGGGGGTGATGCAGATGGTGCTTGTCAGTTGGCAACACTGGGGGGGGGGGGGGGGGGGGGGGGGGCTGTCAGCATTGACCCGTATATTTTGGGGCCCTTCTAAGAAAGTCAATTAACACTTTACATGAAAAATGTATTGTAAATAACTTATCAAATTGCTATAAATCTACACAAATATCATGATAATGTTCTATAAAAAAAAAAAACGGGGTCCCTTGAAATCGAAAGTTTGTCACGTTCTACAATAAAATGCCTATGCTTCCAGGGGTTGAAAAAAACAATCATCTTTCCGCTGACAACCTTGAATCCGTCACTTTAATCCATGCACCTTTCCCCCTTTTTAGTTTTATTATATAATAATGTCAATATGTAGATCAAAACACTTAATATCAATATATTCTGCGATTGATGTATATTAAAATGATTTCTCTATCTTAAAATCACTTGATGATTTATGAAACAACAGGCTTCAGATAATGAGAATTACATTTTCTTTTGTTCTTCTTTTATTTTTTTTCTTCCACTTGTAGATTTCGCTCTAATACTTCTGAAATTAAGTTGCCTGCAGGGAAATTAGGAGGGTCTTCAGGTCAGAATAAAAGACATGTATTTGCCATGTCTAAGTACTCCCGTCAAAATACCTTATTATAAAACAAAACAAAGGAATATCTTATGGTTAATTAGAAATACATGGACAAAATATTTTCAAAGGGTTACGGATTGATGAGAAGTCTTTGTTTTTTTTTCAATAGAAATAACTTTGTTTAATATAGATCAGCAAACTTTAATTAGATGTTAAGATAGATTTTTTTTGTAAATGTTTATTGACCATTTGGTGTTAAAGATAATATGGAATTCTGGTATTTAAGTTGAAAAACTGTAGTTGGGATTTCTGATTCTTTTTATTTTCACATGAAGAATATCATAATAGCAATGTTAATCTAAATTATTGCTCTCAAAATGACTCAATATGACAACATATCAAAACGTTTGGGTCACTGAATAGTGCTTGATTATTACCAAAAATGTTCTATGAAGAATTCCGTGAAAAACACATCTTTTTTCACTAGTACATCCATCTTCATTCTGCTAAAAGTACCACATATTTTGCCTAGTTTGACTAGTTCATACGACAAAGACTATGATCTTTCGGGTAAAGCAAACAAAATACAATTTCATTATTTTTTACTATCGCGTTTTGTTTGTAAAAGTATTCAATTTACTGTTTTTCAGCTCGTTTTCTGTGTAAAATCAACGGGTCGGGCAACAGAGCTTTATTACCATGTCACAATCTGGCATACTGCCTTCTTCTAATTTTTAGTTTGAGAAATTCATTTTTCAATAAATGTTATCTTTCCAACCATATAAGACTCGTTTAGATTGGTTGATGTTATTCCCTGCGTATCCAAGATGTAAGACCATCACACCTTTGTCGAGCGAAAGTTTTTGGTGAGATGATCAGTTTGAGAACTGTGTCGCCTAGACAGTGCGTCCCAGAAAAAACGAAATCGAGAATTATCGATGTTTAATCTTAACTTAATCACAATTATAACTAATAAATGACACATATTTGTAAAGCTTAAATTCTCCTCTTTCATTTGATGCAACTCATATGACGCATATTTCACGCATGAGCGATTACAAACAACTTGAAGAAGAGAGGAAACCAAAAAGTCATTTGGCGGGCGGTATCTGAATTTCAAAGAGAAAATCACATTTCTAGAAAGTTCATTTTCTGCCCTTTCATAATTACGACACATTAATCAGGAATAACAAAGTTCTGTTTGTCTAAATTAATGCTTGTATTTCCATAATTTGATTAAGCAAATTTGTTTTCACCGGTTGCTGGCCGTAGCAACAAACAGAGTTGACAAAAGACTGAACTCCGTTTCGTTGACGACCAGCCATGCATCAAGTCTCTCATTTCATTTCCCTTCCCCCATCTCTCTCTCCCCCTCCATTCCTCCCTCAAAACCCAGCTCCCCCCCCCTCTCTCTCTCTCTCTCCCATTTTGCTCATCTACACACACAGCAACAAGAAATGGAGTATAGTTCACCAAGTTGCCAAGATGCATATGCAGACACTTAATTCCTTGTATTACTAATAATAAACTTCAACTTATTTTCAAAAGCTAACGAGTGACAATGAACTGCTTCATAGTATATTTTCATATAAAATCTTTATTTACAGAATCTAGTCAATCATTACAAATAGTGCATTTGTACAGTGGAAATACATTATTGTATAGCAATATACATAACAAAATACCAATAATCATGACAAATATGAAAGATAACCTTTCAAAATACAATGTTTATGTTATTATTACAGTATGCCATAATCATGTTTAATACATGATCTAAACAGAAAGGTTTCATGGTAGCATATTGTGAAATATCTGACATTCATCATTCATGTGAGTCAATTGCATAACAGCTACAGCTATGCAGATAACAATAGAGACTTACTTCTCTCTGGCTTCTGACATCAATGATTATACAGGTCACCTTCGACTTGGAACACTGGCTTCTATCAACATGTCCACACATTATCTGAATACGAATCAAATATCTTTCCAAACATTACTTGGAAGAATTGTCTGCACCCAGTGAAGCCCCATTACCTTATAAAATGCCTTTTCAAATTATTTAGAATGTATTTAGATTTCAATTTTACTGGTATGTAGATGTTTAGCCCAATACACATTATGCATATCATGTAAAAAGAAATTTGATGAGATGTTTACTCAGACTGTTAACGGGGTGTTTAAAAAAAAATTGAACTGGACATTAACTTTACACATAGTACGGATCATTATACAAACACAAACACAAACACAGGAAGCTTTAACCAAATTATATAAAATGAAGAATACATGGACCTGAAAACATGTAAACTGCTACTAGCAGTAGCCAAGTGAGTAACTTAATGTACCGGTAAAAGAAGTAAAGGGTAAAGTAATTAGTATTCAAAGTTTGTTTATTCAAACATTCAACAAGGGAAACGCTCTCGGCGGTCTCGCCTGCATAACGCAATTTAATATGATAAACCAGAACGTCAATGACGTAGCGCTCATCCGCATCTCACAACAACAAATATCGTAAATTTTATGTGGTACACTTTTGAACTGGTCAAAAAATAGAAATTTGATGCCCTGGAAGGGACATAATTTCATTTCATTTGCATAAAGTACCATAAATAATCAATGGAGCAAAATCTCACAATTCTGTGTAGAAGTTTATTGTTCCAAATTTAGCTCTACCAGATAAGGCAAAATCGGTCAAGAAATGAGGGAAAAGAAGCAATTTTTGTTATTTTTGGAATAAATTTGCATAAATTACCATAATTAATTAATGGAGAACAATTTCAAAATTCTGTGTAGAAGTTTAGTGTACCAAAGTTAGCTCTACGATATAAAGCAAACCAAATCAAAATCGGTCGAGAAATGAAGGAGAAGAAGCCTTTTTTGTGATTTCGAATAAATTTGCATAAATTAGCATAGATAATGAATTTCACGATTCTGTGTAGAAATTTTAAATCCCCTCCTAGCCCTATCATATGAAACAATCAGAATCAAAATCGGTTGAAAAATAACGAAGAAGAAGCATTTTGAAAATCTTAATGTTGATGCCACAACAAAGTCTAATTTGTTGACCTTAAATGGCCTTTGACCTTAACTTAGTGACCTGAAATTCTACTCATATGATTGGGGAGACTTGATAACCCTATAGTCCAAGTTTCATTGACTAAGAACTTATACTTTCAAAATTATATCAAAAATTCAAAAACTTAACCTTAGGTTAAGTTTTCGATGATGATGCTACAACATAGTCCAAGTCTGTTGACCTGAAATGACCTTTGACCTTGACTTTGTGATCTGAAATTCTACTCACATGATTGGGGATACTTGATTACCCTAAAGTCAAAGTTTCAGTGACTAAGAACTTATACTTTAAAAATTATACCAAAAATTCAAAAACTTAACCTTAGGTTAAGTTTTTGATGTTGACGCCGTCGCCGTCGCCGTCGCCGTCGCCGTCGCCGCCGTCGTCACCGGAAAAGCGGCGCCTATGTCTCGCTTTTTGCTACGCAGGCGAGACAAAAAGGGGCCCACACTCACACACAGGTTTGTGGTGTAAATCGAGAACTCATAATATACATCAAGTTGTTATTGCATATTGAAGGACACACATAACCCAGGAAAATCTGGAAATTTCCTTCATAACCGAAGACCTACTTTTTTGTATGCAAACAGAGGACCTAAATAAATGTACCCCTATATGAAAAGACCAATCATTTCATACAATTTACAGGATTCTCAAACCGAGGACGTCCTTGTTTTTGCAAGCGTTCTTAAAAGTGAAGGTAAAGTTCTAATAAATAAATATACCCTTATATGAAAAGGCCAAACATTTTATACAATTTACAGGGTTCTCAAACCGAGGACGTCCTTGTTTGTGCGAGTGTTCTTAAAAGTGAAGCTAAGATTCTAATGAGTGTCCTCAGTACCCTCCCATGCACCCCCCCCCCCACACAAACTTAAATTTTGTGTGGAAAACCTCCTAGGTAACAACCTCTCTTTCATCTTATAGTAGCTCTTACTGTTATTTACCTTCATCAAACCATAATGTCAATAAATACAAGTATGTCAGTCACTGCATACCAATCTGGTCAAACTGTTTTCCCTAATAGCCAGCTTGCACGTAGATTTGTCAAGAGTTCAAATGTTGACAACTTCTTCTTTCTCTACAGCCACAGCAACAAGGAAATATGTTTTGTATGTTGAATGCCAGAAGGGCATTAACTCTGTGTTATAGTAGAAGGTGAACACCACTCTGGCTCTCAGTTGATGAGTCCTTCTCCCACTCCATCCTGCAATCCTGTGGGACTGTCGTGGTCGAGTGGTTTAAGGCGCTGGACTGTAGATGCGAAGGTCGAGGGTTCGAATCCCGACACTGCACTAATATCCTTTGGCAAGATATTAACCTACACTTGCTACTCTCCACCCAGGTGTTAAAATGGGTACCCGGTAGGATGCGACTACCATTGTTGGTCAAACAGTTTTTGAGCGTCGAGTAACGCCTGGCTGGAATGCTCCCCAGGGACTGGAGATTGTGCACACATTGTGTGCGGGCAAGCACTGAATCCAATGACTGGAGTAATGGTATATCTGTAAAGCGCTTAGAGACGTCCGAGATGTATTAAGCGCTATATAAAAGCTGAATATTATTATTAATCCTAGATATATAGTTCTTTGTCCTGAATCATCTCTCTATGTATGCAATGAGAGGTGTATTATTTCATTCATCTTGTTTCTCCCTGCTCCTTCAAGCTGTTCAGAAAATGGATGCTACAGATCACCATTCATGTCGAGATAGTTTATTGACATATCCAGTCCTTTTTCTGGTCAAACCATTCCAAAGTGGACCACTTTCAGAGTTGTTGTTTCCTCCACTTCTGCTTCTTCCTGTCCTTCCTCCACATCATGACCGGCTCCTCTGCTGGGATGGCTAGCAGACGATCCTCCACCATCTATACAACAACAACAAAATATTATAAGCTTCGATATTTGTTGAGGTCTATATCCCCATCCAGGGCCCAGTCTTACAAAGAGTTGATATCAATCATAACTTCTTTGCGATTAGATAGGAGACTGCAAACTTGTGATTGATTGGAGGACTTGCGATTGATTTGGATCAATCGCAGCTCTATATAAGACGGGGCCCAGACATGACATGGTTTACCTTTTTTTTTTTTTTTTAATGCCACAGCAAAATTTACAGGACAAAAAATGGCAAGGGCAATTTTGATTTTATACCAGTAATCAAGTAGTGATAAGCAATGGACCCTATGCATACTCACTGATCTGATCTGAGTGATGTTTAGATACAGATACGTGAAGCAAACTATGCTCATCTCATTCAATTTCGCTGCAGCAGTTGATTTGAAGTAGTTTGAAACAGTTATCTGCATATTTTCTTCTTTTTAAAAACTGTAAAAGGGGTATTAGCTCAACAACGTCATTGTTGAGTAAAGGGATTTTCCCTTCCAGCCACATACATCATCAAGTAATCCGCTCTAATTGAATACACTTCTTGAAAATTATATACAATCTACTGGATTAAAATATCAATAAGTAAGATTCAATTCAATTTCCTTGTGACGATAATAAGACACACTTACAGGATCACTTTAAAGCTTATCTGCCGTAGTTTACAGGAGGGATTAGAATGCCCTGCAATTCAGCTCTCAGTTAACATAAGAAAAAGAGGATCATGGGGGACCAATGGTCACCGATTAGGCATTGTTTGTTATATAGAGGGCGCAAGTAGCTACAAGTAGTGCAGTGGGCCTTTAATCCTGATGTTGTTTTTGTTTTCAGGATTCCCAACATTTCATGAATCCCTAAACTGAGCACTAACTCGTGGATAGCATGTCAAAGCCCTTTGTATCTAGTGCAAAATGCACTGTATGAATTGCAACTATTATTAGACACAAGACTTATTCTAGCTATGAACTATTGATATTATTCCTATATATTCAATTATTTATATTCACTGTCCCTTTATGATACCTTGAAATATGGACAATTAATTTGGTCCACCTGACCCTACCCTGGGTGGATGCTAGACCCTATTTCAGCAAACTGAACCAGTGGTAAACCAATTTTGCGCAGAGTGTCATTATGAACTCGCTTATTACAGTTTGGAGGTACTGCGTGCACACAATTTCACCGACCCACAAATTAAACCTGTGCATCATCTGTTGTGTAAAATGGGGCCCCAAAAAAATTGTCAAAAATACAAAAAATCTGTTATTTTACAGATTTAACGGGTGCATGGCAAAATCATGCTTTCTGGTAATTACCGGACGCATGATTTTGTCATACCCATGCCTCCGGTAATTACCAGAAAGCATGATTTCATGAAACTTATCAATTGTTAGTGCCATGGTAATATACTCTTTATAAAAAAGAAAAAAGAAAAAAGAAAAAAAATACTGAAAAGAAAAATAAAATAAAAATTTATAAGAAAAAAACCCCCAAGAAAAACAAATAATTGTAACTATTTACACACACATACACACACAAAAACAAAAAAATTATAGAAGAAAACAAAAATTATAAGAATTATTTAAAAAAAAATAAAATAAAGGGATATCAGTGGTATCGATTCCAAATATCGCGTGCATCCAGTAAAATTAACTACACAGTAATTGACCAATCAGATTGCAGGGATTCTTCTACCCATCTTATAATAGCGTATGACATCACTGCAGGAGCCTCTCCGGTGAAAAGGAAGGTGATTTAGGCATTTACCGGTAAAAGTCTCTAAACTATGATATTAATTGAAAAATGGATGGTGATTATCATTTTTGGTCAATATAGAGATTTTCTGAAATATCAGAGGCTGGAATATAAATAAGTAGAGGTGTATTCATGTTTTAAAAGGCTACGTTAGTTGGGTTAGAGTGGCCCTTTAACTGCTGATGAGTCTGAATGCGTTCCATAATACAACAATATACAACAACAACATTTTTTTTCTTCTTTCTCACATGAAGTTTATATACTCACTAGATGTGTCCCATCCAAATGGGTTGTCTGTTAGCACTCTGGTGTAAATATCTCCTGGAATGGCAGCTAGCCCGCTAGCTCCACTCAACAAGCTCTCATCCACATCATCACTGTATCAAGGACAAATAGGGATCAAAAGCTATAACATTAGCTATAGTATCTGCTTTTGGCAGCATACATATAATATCTATCCAACATCTGTTTTTTGTTTTTACCGTTACAAATGATCAAGATAGAGCCAATCTTTAAAATGTACATTGTACTGGTTATAAACATCCATTTACCATTCAGGTTATAGATATTCCAAATCTTGCACTTTTTATTCACACAAAAAGGAGTAATGATTCAATTAATAGAAAAATAATGAAATCTCTCAAAATAACATTAATTTCATATTTCTAAAGATTTTTAAAGATAAAAATTGCACTCTCAACATTCTAATTAGATAGGGAGAACTTTATTTACTGCTAACCTACACTAGGGGGTGCTAAAAGATCATGAACCAGACTACATATAGTATTACATTGCTTTCAGTCATGACATCTTTGTCTCGATTAATACGTTGACTCTTGTGCAAATATGAGAAAGTACATCATGGTGTTCATACCCATGTCTGTAAGCTTCATCAATTCTTTCCTCTGCTCTGTGCCAAGCATCAACATCCTTCCTGGACTTTCTAGTTTTAGCTGGGACATGACCCTGATCAGATGATCCGCTGTGAAAAGAGAAGGTTTTAACAATTTATTGAATTGCGTTGGGAACAATATCGATGATGAAGATGATGATGATGATGATGATGATGATGATGATGATGATGATGATGATGATGATGCTGATAAATGATTTCAAATTCATAATGACAATGATAATAACAATAACTCGATGGAACTTTGACTGCGCGCAGTCGAAAATGATGCCTCCGCCATAGAGCGATTTAACAAACCAAAAGAGAAGCAATTTTAAAATTCAAGTTTGATTGTAATCCATTAACAGGTTCTCAGAATATCATGATTACAAGCGTATGACCATTTGATCTTTGCCATCATGACCCTAAAATCTAATCAGTTCATTGGCTCTGATAGATATATACATGTCCTGAGTTTGATAGTAATCCATTCGTCAGTTCTAATGATAATGGGTTCACAAGCTATTTTTGCATACATAATGAGCACCCATGACATTTGACCTTTGACCTCATGACCCCAACATCTTATCAGTTCATTGTCTCAGCAAGAAACATACATGTCTTGAGTTTGCTGGTAATCCGTCAATCGGTTCTAATGAAATTGTGATCACAAGCTATTTTTGCATAACGGTACATAATGACCCCTGTGACCTTTGACCTCCTGACCCAAAAATATATTCAGTCCATTGGCTCTGTAAGATACAGACACGACCCAAGTTTGGCGTGAATCCATCTATCGGTTCTTGTGTTATCGCAGAACTATTTCTAATACACAACAAAATCAAAACAAAACATGGCTGAATTGGTTGAAAATTGAGCTGATTGATCGTGTTGTTCTATGCAGGCGAAATAAATAGTTTGACACTACCTCATCACAGGTTGGGGAAGATGTCCCAAAGGTTCAGCTACTCTGAGAGATCCTTTGACATCTGTGTCATCCCTCCTCCTTTCATCTCTATTTCTTTCATGTTCATGCCTTTCTTCTCCAGTTGAATACGAGCCATCAGTTACATCGTCTTCACTCAGGGAATCCTCAGAATCGTAGTCATCTGAATTAAAAATTGTTGGAATGAAATATGAAGATTAGAATTCCCTTCCCTTCCCTTCCATCTATCTGTGCAGAAAATATCTTTTTTGAGAAGAAAATTTATTATTTCCTGTTCTCCAATGGCTTTACTAAGTTTACTTTGGCAAATTTTTATACTTAACTACTTGTTTTGTGTAAGTGATTTGTATTGTTTTTCTATTGATGTTTTTCTATTGATGATGCTCTGGTGTTTATATACTTTATGTATGTTGTTTTTATTAAAAATGAAAATAAAGACTGAACTGAACTGAACTGAACCAAAGAAGTATCCTTTCAACATTATGTTAGATAGAAAATAGGGAAAGTTCAGAATTTAAATAATTGTATAACCATTGGTCTAAATAATTAATATTATCACTTTTTCACCTCAACATTAATCCTCATCATTATTATCTTCGTACCACTTTCATCATCATCAACAAGATCATTGTTACCATCATTAAGAGAGGCCTTCCTTAAAATATCCAGAGACTTCACACTATTTTGCTGGGATGCCTCACTCACAGGATGTAATGATACTTTCAAAATAGCAAAGCTTCAAACCACTTCACGCATGCAATTCGGTTCATTGTATAACTTCTTTTGACCTTTTTACCATTCTTACTGGCCAAAGAGGGCCCCTGAAAATCATCATGATCGTCATCACCATCCCAATTATCCTCGCAACCATCATCATTATCATCATCATTGTCCCTATCATCCTCATCACCATTATCATCACTACCACCACCACTACCATCTTCATCATTTTCATCAGTGCACTGACCTGTTCCTGATGTTGAGGGCATCTCCAGCTCAATTTCCTCAGCCTTCTGCTTGGCTACATTTGCTAAAGCCATTTCTCCTTTGTCAATGGCAAGGTGGTGAATATCCTGTAAAGATTATGGTAACATATTTATTGCCACAAGTAGGTAGACTCACACAAGTTTATGGGCAAACAAGAATATTCAAGATAACTCTTTATTAATTAGCTTTAGCCTGACTTTCAGCCTGAAGGGATCCTTCGACAATGAAAATGTCAACAGGAGATTGTGGACTAGAGAAAGAATGAGAGAGAAAGATAGGGGGAAGAGTAAACAGGGAGAGAGAGAGAGAGAATGGGAGAAGGGAGGGAGAATTAGTGAAACAGAGGGAGAAAGGGAGAGAGAGAGAGAGGAAGAGAGAGACAAAGAGAGGAGGGAAGGTAAGGGTTAGGGGAAGTAAATGATAGGAAAAAATAAAGGGAGAAAAAAGAGATACAGAGAGGGTGATTCAGTGAGTGACAATGTGGAGAGTGAAAGAGGGAGAGGAGGAAAGAGAGAGAGAGAGAGAGAGAGAGAGAGAGAGAGAGAGAGAGAGAGAGAGAGAGGCAATATAGTTCAATCATACTCAGTTCAATTGATTTAACAGTTCAAGTCAAATTATGTGGTTGAACCCACCTTAGTGACAGTAAAGACCACATTTTCTTATTTTTTAATTTTGTATAAAGACCATATTTTTGGTATACAAAACTATTCTTGTCAACCATTAAAAAAAAATTATGGAAAGTCTTCAAGAAAAATGTAATGTGTGTTTTAAGCAAAATTTGTATTTTCTATTTCTTTGTTTTCTACATTGATATTTGTTTTAATATATTCACATAAAGTGAATTTTATATAATTACATGAACACACATATGCAATTCTTTTCATAAAAAATTTAGAATTTCTGGATGGTTCATGTTTTATTTGATATAATTCATGCTTTAGATTAATTGGAAATAGCACCAAAAGTTTACCGTTACCTCCGGGTTAATATGATATATTCTTGTTTTAACACACATCTCTCTAAGCCTCCATAAAGTAACAATAAAATTTTAAGGGTTAAACACTGGCCAAGCTGCCAAGTCTGATGGCACTGACCTTATCAAATGCTAATCTATCCGTATTTCCATTAAACCAATGACGTTATCTGCTTAACTACATACTAATGGGAAATTTAAAGCTCATCTAGAAGTAAATTTTGTCTAAATCCTAAGGATAATTTAAAATTTATTCTCCAATTCCCAAAGCAGAATTGCTCTCATTCCCATGAATTTGTTTTGCTTCTAATGACGTATGCGTGTATAAGAAACACAAAATTTGAAAAAGAATCAAAGCCAGACAATCAGTAACCTAGCAACCAGACTAATAAGTTTTCTCCCTCTCTATGAAAATTATAGTAGATGATCCTGGAATTAATTTTTTTTATTAAAATTAAAAATTAAAATTAAAATTATTAAAATTATCCTATTCATTTTCTTTCTATCTATCCTTGTTGTTGTTGTTATTTTAGTTTTGGGGCGTGTATCAATCAGTTGTGATAATTTAGTCCATGAGATTTATTAGTCTACCTCAAGGGTCAACCAAACATAACATTTACAATGAGAGTTAAAAAGACTCCCTTGGCCTGGTAGCTAGGCTAGATTAATAGGGAAAGGGAATACTTATTAACTTATTAAAAATTAACAGCAAATCCTATGATTTGAAGCTTTTGAAAGCCTTTATTAATATGCAGACATCCTCATAGGTCTATCATAAAATAAAAATTGTTTTCAAAAGAAATCAGAATAACATCAGTATACCATAAGTGAAATTAAGGGATACGAAATATGAATATTTGCAGAAAAAAGATCATACATAAAAACAGAGTGAAAGAATTTGTTGTAAGTAGAATGAAGATTTTCAAATAGGTCAATAACATCAAAAAAAAATTTCCCTCAAGTAACTCATATCAAGGGAAGCAATTTCATAAATGAGAGAAAGAAGGAATAATCTCCATCACATGTTTAGTTAGTATGTTAAAAAATAAGATTATAAGATAGTTTTAGGTGACAGAATGTTTTTATCTTCAGGAATACATGATCATACATAATGTATAAAGATGAATTCTGTCGCTTACGCTTAGTGTAATATTTTTTTTTCTTTGTTACTGAAAAACTATTTTCATGGAGTTGGGGCCTTTTTCCTCTCATACATCCAATTTTGAATTATATAAAAGATGGCGGAACATATGCAAATACAATACGTGCGTACTGTTGCTTAGTAACTGTCTGCCACACCCAATTCCAGAATTAACTACACTCAGCGACATAAGTCCGGATAATAGTTTTATTTAATTTCAAAGTTATTTAATATACATGTAATATTTTGATAGCAATTAATTAGGTTAAAGAAACTCCCCGGTATAAAATATTGAACAACCTGACCGGTACATAATAATTTTATGGAGAGACATGCTATTATGTTATTGAAATTGTGAATTTTCTAATATGTTATATATAATGTGTACTTAATTTATATCTTGGCATTACATTTGCTTGTGCCTCTCCTTTCTTTATTTTCTTATTGTTTATCCTTGATTTGTTACTCTCTTATTTGTCCTTATGCTATATTTTTACCAGTCTTCTGAGTGCATCAGTTGGTTGGGCGAAGGGACCTTTACGGTTAAAGTGATTAAGTTTGCTCTCTTCTTCCCTGGCCGCCATCTTTTGCACTCTGAATATTGCTACAAAATTTGTATTTGCATAGTTTTTGTCATTCTTATTTTGTAATTACCATGATTATATTGTTTTATTGTTATATTTCTTGAAAGTGCCGAATACAATACAATACAATATAACAAAAATGGGCACTCTTTATTGTTCAAATATTTTATATAAACCATTAAAATAGATCGTAATAAAACGAATCAAATTAAAGGAAAATTAGTACTTTACCAACATCAATTAAGACGAAGATTCCAATTTTCATACTTGGATCCACTTGTTAATGACTTCAAATTGTACTTACCATAAACAGGTCTCTTGAATGAAGATCAACAGCTAACAAAAAGGCCTTTTCAAATCTCTGATATCTGTAACAAGAAAACCACTTCTGTGACTAGCTACTAATACAACAAATACATCAATTTTCCAGTTAACATCTACTGGACTTCACATTTTTATCTCATTATGTGACCTACAATGTACAAACTGGAGTTGTTCTTTCCTTAGGATTTGAAAAGGGATCTGTTTTAAGGCTATCACTATTGAAATAATATTTAAAAATTCTCTCACCAAATGCCAGCAGATAGAACATGGAAATAAGGATTTCCCTTATTATTTAACAAAGTTTTTCCAAAGGGCATCTACAACTCTCTACATGTATCAGCAATGACTTACAAAAAGATTTACTTAAGATGTTGTGGGAGGTTTAAAACTAGATCAAGTAGGTAACCTTTAATATACGTCATTACTAGATTGTGATGAATAAAATATCTGTCTGGTCCCAAAGTATAAGTTAGTTTAAAATATGATGAGTAGATTTATTTGTAGGGTTATCATAATATTATCTAATAACATAAGCTGATGAGTAGTCCAGAGATGATTGCATGATACCAGAAAGCATAATTCTAGGCAGATGAGATCTGGGATTATTTATAAAAAAACTTTGCATAATTGTTTCCAAACATGTATATTGCTGCTATTCCTGTTACATACGTAATATAGGATATGCTTTGAATTTGAATTTGAATTTATTAACAACAACACATCACAATAATGACAGTACATATGAACAATCATACAATGCAAAAAATAATAATGATACATGTATACATAACATAAGAGTAATGTCGATTGAACAGTAATGGTTTTAAAACGATATTTTTTAGACATACATCTGCATACTATTAAATGTACAAAAGATATATACGTAAATATGTATATTACTGTGTTTAGGTGAAGTTGTTAATGGGAACTAGAAGTTAGCACAAGTGCTAGTCGAGCCTAGTTCCATTCTTTGGCAAGATTTTTTCTGTTAATTTGTTTTTACATATGAATGTAAAACTTGTTTGTTTTGTATTTACATATATACAACAAAATAATACAATATCATGTAACTTTTTTTCTTTACTAAAATGAAAAAATAACAATAAAAAAGCGTTAAAGCATTATATTGAAAGAAGACAAATCTTTGAAAAAATAAAATCATCAATGTGTTCATAAAAATGAAAAGGATGTGCTAATAAAAATAATCATACACATGTACGTACATGCACAAATCCTGTAAAAGCTTAAGGCCGCTATAATCGTTAACAAGGAAGTGTATACATATATAAAAGGAAGACAAGTAATATAAAAGGAAAATACAAAGGGGATGGGATTGAGCCCACATCATTTACATTGAAGGTAGGTGGAAAGATGTCTCCGAAAAGATAACCTTGATGCTTTAAATCTATTTCATCTGGCAGATCATTCCACAGCTTTGTTCCTACATACGAAATACAAAATTGCCCCCGCCTTGTCTTACATTTTGGTTGATACAGTAAGCCACTTTCTTTTCTCCTAGTTGCATATCTGTGCTGTATCATCTGACAATAATCCACTAAAGAGTGTGGTAAAAAACCTTTTACCAAATCGTACATAAATGTTGATACAAGAAGTTCATGAAGTTGAAAAATATTTAAAATGTTTAGACTTTGAAAAAGAGCTTTGGAGTCTGTTCTAAGTGGACTGAATGTAATTGCTCTCATTGCCATTTTTGACTTAAATATATACAATTTAGATTACTTTTGTAAGTGCTCCCCCATACTTCTACTCCATAAGAGAGGTGAGGCTGTATAAAAGCCTTATATAATAACACAAGTATATTCTTGGGAACAAAATGTCTCAGTTTAAACAGAATACCTACTTTCTTTCTTATGCATTTGTTTATTGTATGAATATGTTCTTTCCATGAAAGGTGACAATCAATTTCAATTCCTACAAATGATGCAACAGATACCTCTTTAATATCTGATCTTGATAGTCTCACAGATCCCTTTTTGTCTATTGATCTACCTTTGGATTTCATAATCATATAGTTTGTTTTCTGTAAGTTAATTGTGACTTCATTTGCATTACACCATTCCTGCACCTTCATTAAATTTTCACTTACAATTTCTAAATCAATTTCTTTTTGTCTAGGATTAAAAGTATGAAAAAGATTTGAGTCATCAGCAAATAATCTGAAATTGAAAAAGTTTGTGGAGTTAGGTAAGTCATTTATATATAGTAAAAATAATGTTGGTCCAAGAACGGAGCCTTGAGGGACACCACATGTTATATTCAATTTCAAAGACATTTTGTCTTTATATTGTATAAACTGTGATCGTTTACACAAATAATCTTCAAACCATTGCAAGGCTAACCCACGTATTCCATAGTGTGACAATTTTTTGAGGAGAATGCTGTGGTTTATAGTATCAAATGCCTTTTGAAAGTCAATAAAGATGCCAACCGTTGTTCTTCCTTCATCAAAGTATTTCAATAATGTATTTGCAAGATTAATCAAAGATAACTTAGTGCTATGTTTCTTACGGAAACCATACTGGTGTTGAAACAAGATATTATTTGCTTCCAAATAGTCAATTACACGATTATTTATTATTTTCTCAAAGATTTTACCCAGTATAGGTAAAACTGAAATAGGTCTGTAATTACCAGCTAGATCTTTTCGCCCCTTTTTATAAATGGGTGTCACTTTTGCTACTTTCAGTGCGTCTGGAAATTTACCTCTTTCTATGGAAAGATTGAAAATATATGTTAATGAGCTTGAAATGTATAGGGCAGCATCCCTCAACAATATTGCCCGCAAATTATCATAGCCACATGCTTTTTTTGTATCTAAAGTCTGTAAGTGGCATTTCAATTCATTCTCAGTTATTGGTTTTAAAAATAGTGATTTTTCTGTTCTATATCCTAAATACTCTGTAAAGTCAGAATTCACTGGTGGTATTTCCTTTGCCAGCTTTGGACCTATGTTTACAAAAAAGTTGTTAAATTCGTTAGCTATTTCATTGTCAGAAGTTATCACTCTATTTTCTTCACCACCTGAGCTTAATAATTTCTCTACATTGGTCACTTTATTTTTGACATTTCCACCACTCAACAACTCGTTAATTGTTCTCCACGTTTTACGACTATCATTCTTATTAATGAAGAAGAGGTTACTATAATATTGTCTCTTTGCATTTCGTAGAACTGTAGTTAGAACATTTCTATACCTCTTGTATTCTTCCTCGCCTTTCTGTTGGAAATTTGATGCCTTTAGTTTATAATACAACTTGTGCTTCTTCTTGACTGATTTTAAAATAGCATTAGTCATCCATGGTTTTCTCCCAGCATTTTCCCCCTTTTTTAGGTTCTTCGAAGTTGATGATATAATTGGTGCATGCTTGTCACAGACTTGCGTAAACAAGTCGTAAAATACAGAGTATGACTCATTTAATTTTGTACAACCACTTACATTGTTCCAATCAATTTTACCTAGATCATCATGGAATTTATTAATATCATAATTTCTGAAGGTACGAAACACAGACTTTTTGTGGCTTGTTTTACTTGCCTTTTTAAGATGCTCAAATGCAACAAAGATAGGGAAATGATCTGATATATCAGTTTCTATAACTCCAGCATGAATAGAAGAAATTGTTACATTAGTGTACACATGGTCAATAAGAGAGGAAGTTGTTTTAGTTACTCTTGTTGGTGAAGTGATTAGTTGCTGCATACCCAAACATTGTAAAGAAGTTAAAAATTGTTCTGCTTTCATATCTATTCCTTCCTTGTGTAGTACATTAATGTTAAAATCTCCAAGTAAAACTACATTTGCTTTATCAATTTTCAATCTTTCTAATGTTACCAGCAAGGAGTTTTGAAATTGATCAATATCAGTAGGGGCAGTTACACTGTCATCCAAACACGCCAAAAAATGCCAAACCGGAGCCTGGCCGCGATGTTACCAAGGGCAACTACGCTTTACCGGCAGACATGCCAAGCCCCAAACATTCCAAAACGAAGTGTGATCTTTTGGCGTGTTTTGGCGTGTTTTGGCGTGTTTTGGCGTGTTTGGCAAGTATAACCGCTCGCAGTTGTAACATCGCGATGTTAGGCACGTGACTTGCGGCACTTCCGGATTGTTACCCGCGCTCTTTTAAACCACGTTCTTCCCGTGTGATATTTATAGCATTTCCATCGTCTGTGGGTACAGAAGAACGAGGGTCAAAATGAGGTTGGTGAGCTCTTGCTGTCGCCTCATAAAGTACCTAAAAAAACGAGCACGACGATCACTTTCCCTACGACGTCGGCGAATTCTCATAATTCCAATTAACAACGATGATTTTCTTAACCTTCCCATATCGTTTTTACTACTAGATTTCGATTGAATTTGGGAAAACTGAATCAGCAGCCGTAGTCCGTACTTCGTAACTTATCCACTCTTGCCTCAAATACTACACGCGAGATAAACAAAACATATCGCATGCATGCGCATGGGATGTATCGCTATTTAGCTAGCTATAGCGCTAGCTGGAAATTGCGCGCGCTAAAAATCTTATAGCAGGCCGGGGTCAAAGGTCGGGAAGACTGCACATGCGCATTACCAACCGAAACACGCCAAAACATCGCTGAACAGCTCCGTCGGTGATGTTTCAGCACAAGTGTAACCGGGTGCACGAAACATCGCGACTTTTCAAAATGAGGTATTTGACAGTATAAATGCGCCTAGTATTGGGCTTACGATAAATAATACCTACAGTAATTTTCCTACCATTCAGGTCAGTTTCTAACCAGAGACTTTCTGTGTGAGTGACTTCATGGTCAAGAATAACATATTTCAATGAAGAGTGAATGTAAGCTCCAACTCCTCCACCCCTTGTTCCACCTGTTCTACACTTTACCTCAAGGACATAATCATTTAAACCTAAAATACCTTTGTTTGAAACATTCCACACTTCTGATAAGGCAATTATATCAAATTTTGTTTTTAATGTATCTTCATATAACAAATTTAGATTATCAAAGTTCTTACTAAGAGATCTGATATTAACATGTGAAATACAGAATGAATGTAACATTTGCTCTGATAATGTATTATCAAATAAATGAGGGCTAACATTATGTGATTGAATTACAGATGACTCATTCTGTAATCTGTTCCATTTAAATAATAAAACATTTGTTGCTCATCATATTTATAAGTCATTTACATTATGGAGAGTTTGAAATCTTCGTATTTGATGTCATTTAGCCCAACATCAAACAAGTCATCAGGTGTTTTGATGACTTTGAAAGAGTCATCCTGCATTTTGCAAACGATATTCCCATTTTTTGTGGAAATATTTTTAACAAGTGGAGAGTTTTTTGCGCTTCTCAGCACAGAATATCGCATGGGGGTAAGATCATCGTTAACAAAAACGCCCTTGTAGGAAATTTTTCCCTTCAAAGCATACTTCCTATTGAATATTTCGTCCCTCTTTCGCCGAGATATGAGCCGAACTATCGTTTGGCGAGCTCCTCCTCCTCCCACTCTTGGCTTTCCAACCCGATAGCATGTTGAAATGTCATCTGGGGTGATGTTCACTCCAACCTCTTCTGCTAGCTGACAAACTTTACCCATCAAGGCCTCTTCTGATTCACCTGCATTTTCTTCTGTCTCCACTTGTCCTACATGCCCCTCTGTGAGTCCTATGATACGAAGGTTTTCCCTCCGCATCTGCTGGTCAACTTCATCCCTCTCGAATTGGCTGCGAAGTAGGTGTGGGTTGATATCCTCCTTCACAGAGGCAACACAGACTTCTCTCACTGCCTTCACAATTGCAGGTATTGCTGCCTTGACAGCTGTCTCAACAGCATTCCCGATGATAATGGCCAGATCATCTTGAGCTACTCCAATATTCCCCAACTGGTCATGAACACTTTGCACGTCGATGAAGACACCTTCTTTGGTTATGGGAGAGTCCAACATTCCTTGTTTCGCTTTAACTGTGCGATCTACTCCCTTGTGGGGAGTAAAAGGCTGTTTTGGTGATGGCATGGCCTGACCTTGACCTCTTTGTGAAGTAGGCAGGAATTTGCCAGGAGAAGAGTTGGGCTTTCCTCTGCCTCTGGTCATATTGCGAGGAATGTTTCACGAGTAATAAAACAACACAAATCTTGGTAGATGGGCACACTCAAAATGTTAAGCTTAGAACTCAGTCAAAACTTGCCTGGCATTCTCCCTCCAGCTATTCATAGGATTCTCCATCAACTATGCAAAATGGACCATACAATCTTAGACAGTGCTGCATTCCACTGTTGCTCTTGATATATCCAAGGGTATAAAGAAGATACATCAACAATCAAATACAACACACAGTTGAACAGACCCTGACATACCCTGGCAGAGTGCATTAGACACTTTCATTCAGCTTTATGACGTAATTAAACTAATAACCATATAAATCACTGACTTACAAGTAGATTACGTGAAAAAATATGGTTAAAAAAGTAAGAAATGGTAGGATTAAGGGGGAAGTCCAACCTAATTCTGAGTTGGGGGGGGGGGGGGGTGAGAAATATAGGTCAGTGAGCTAGAGTTTGAGGAAATGGGATAAACTAGATGGATCTTCTTCGACTGCATGCAGTCAAAATGATACCTCCACCATAGAGCAATTTTACAAACCAAAACAGAAGCAATTTTTTGTATTAAAGTTTGATTGTAATCTATTAACTGGTTCTCAGAAAATCGTGATTACAAGCTTTTTTTTCATATCATGTATGACCTTTTGATCTTTGACCTCATGACCCTAAAATCATCAATTCATTGGCTCTGCAAGATACATACATGTCCTGAGTTTGATAGTAATGCACTTGTCATTTGTAAGACGCACCTCTTGACCCCCGGGAATGGTGCGTCATTGTACCGATGTGAGTCGTACATTTTGATACCATGACGCACCTTCCGTCACAGAAAGTGACACACCATTACATTCCATCGACGCACATTTGAGTCAAACATACGACACACCATTTCATGAAAATGACTAGCCAATGACGCACATTTGAGAAACACTTCTGCTTGGAGAAAGTGACGGTCCCATTGATACACCAAATGACGCAACGTGGTAAAGTGACTTACTATGACGCACATATGGGTCAGTATTGTGACGGACATTTTGCGGCCATGACGGTACTGTGCGTCGCGATTTTGGGGAACATGATGCAACCATGACGCACCATCCCCGGGGGTCAAAAGGTGCGTCTTACAAATGACACCTGCATAATCCATACGTCAGTTCTAATGAGAATGCATTCACAATCTATTTTTGCATACATCATGAGCCCCATGTACTTTGACCTTTGATCTCATGACCCCAAAATCTACTCAGTTCATTGGCTCTGCAAGATACATACATGTTTTGAGTTTGATAGTAATCCGTCCATCAGTTCTATTGATAATGCGATCACAGGCTATTTTCGCATACATAATGAGCCCCATGACCTTTGACCTAATGACCTCAAAATCTATTCAGTTCATTGGCTCAGCAAGATACATACATGTCCTGAGTTTGATGGTAATCTGTCAATTGATTCTAATGATAATGCGATCACAAGTTTTTTTTGCATACATAATGACCCTGTGACATTTGACCTCGTGACCCCAAAATCTAATCACTTCATTTGCTCTGTATCAAAAAGCCAACAAGTTGGTATATGAACCTTGAACACACTGTACCCAAATTTAGCTTGTATGTTCTTTTTTGTATGACTTGCCATTTTCTTAGAAAGTCAAACAAACTGACTCACATTAATGCATATTTTCATACTGCATCTTTGAAATGCCACATTCTGGCTTGTCAAATGCTAACTCTTTCTCTTTTATTCGAGTTATTTCTAAAACACTCGGACAATTTATCTGGCATCTCGAATGACAGGTATTAGATTTGTTTGGTATGATAGTTTGTTTTTATCTGACTGCTAAGAAAGCATGTGTAAGCGTGTAAGTAAGCAACCAGGGGACAAACCACTTCCTTAGTAATGAGGATAAATGCCTTACTAAAGAGCACTAGCATTGACTTGGTTTTGAACCCAGTACCTCCCAGTTACAAGACCACTGCTCTAACACTGACCCATTGCGCCTTCATTTCTCAAGTTCTAGATCCTAACAGCCCTACAAGCCAGAGTATGACACATTACATACCTTACTTTAAGAATTGTCCTAATCCTGTCATCAAGCCTGTCATCAAGCCTGTAATCTGATTGGTTGAAAGTGAATCATGTTTTTTAACTATGCCTGCAGAAATTTAACTATACCCGCATTTTTGCGGACATAGTTAAATTTTGCTGTGATCCCCATTAGTTTACGTGTATAATATCACTTTGTGCCAGCTCAAGCACCGAAACCATAATCGCAGTGCGATTGAATGCAAAATTATCCTGTTCCACTGGAGCACAGTTCTGCTTTCCCTGTTCTACTGGAGCACAGTTTGATGATGATGATGATGATGATGATGATGATGATTGGTAAGTGAGTCGCACATGTATTCTCTGACTCTTTTACGGTATATAAAAGATATATTGACTGCTTTAATATTCAAGGCATAGTCATTTCGATAGGCTCTCGGGGACGATACATTCTGCTATGACCCCTTGAGCCTATAGAAACAACTATGCCTCTCTTAGCAGTCAATATATCTATAATACTATTCTCAAGAAAGGCTTTTTATAAAGTACGTCGCTATTGTTTGTGGGTTTTTGGTTCGTTTTTGTTTTTATATATAAAATATCCAAAATATCTAATATTGTTCTGAGGATTAGCCTCGACAGGCCCCTGGCCTTTGTTGGTCCCTCCCCCACATGTTTTTTATATCTACATGTATTTAGTTGTTCATATATTTTGTTCGCTATTTGTTTCTCTTAATATTATTGTTCGTTAATTGTGTATTTTTTATATGTCTGAACATGTATGTATACTTGTTGTTTTTTATGAACCACATGTGGAAATAAAACTTGAACTTGAACTTGAACTTGATTGAATTGAAGTTATAACTGAGAAAAGGGTATTCATTAGACCAACGGGCCAAAGGGGCGAACAGACATTTGCTCCTGATTGTATTTCATCAAGAGTACAAGGTAAGGGTTAAGTTTGGAGTTGGATTTAGGTTAGATTTAGAGTCAAGGTTAGGGTCAAGGTTAGGGTCAAGGTTAGGGTCAAGGTTAGGGTCATTGCTAGTAGTAGGTGTAGTGTATGGTCCAGGATAGAAGTTTGGAATTTGATTACAGTAGTTAGGATATTGACAGCAAAGTAATTGTCACCATAGTACATATCGTAGAACCGACATAGGACCAAAGGGATATTTTTAATATTCAGTCCCATTTCACATATGGATAACGTTAATTTAATCAGAACAATTCACATGCATTAAAGAACACTGGGAGGTAGATTAAGAACCACCGATCCCAATCCCTGTAGATGTTTGTAAGAACAAGACTCTCACCTGAGCAGAAACTGGAAGAATCTCCGAGCAAGACGGCTGACTGCATCCCTATACTCCACAACGATGACCTCCGACAGGGGTCGGAGAGGTGCATAGAAGGACCCAAGACTGGTCTCTAGAGCAGCTATCATATCAACCAAACAAAGGACAACAAGTTACAAGTGTGTGGAAGCAGCACACAACAGTGTTTATCACTCATTAACCCCTCCTGTGTCACTTAATGTGGCAATATTATACATAAATGATCTTTCGAAACTCAAATTCAGAGATTCAATTTTGAAATTTGATTGGGGTATTAGTCATAGGAACAAACTTTCCAATACATACATAGGCCTATATATGTTTCTGTTTCCTGGTTTCCTTGTCCATGTAATGTATTCTACTGGGCTTTGTTGTATCTTACTGTGGTGTGTTTTCTATTTGCTGTTTTTTTCTCAAATATATATATATATATATATTGGATAAGGCAGACTAATGGAACATGGTTGCAACTTCGAGTTTCACGCCTTGATCGCTCGCAAGGCGTGAAACTCAGAGTTGCAACCATGTTCCATTAGTCTGCCTTATCCAATATATATTTTGCTCTGCCTATAAGCATTGAGCACTGTACGGAGGAATAGACCAAATCTAAGTATATATATATATATATATATATATATATATATATATATATATATATATATGGAAACAGCCAGATAGTTATTTCTATGCCAGTTGTACAGTTATATTTGTGCATGACCAATACATTGAACTGAACTGAACTGAACTGGAAGAAAATGTAATCTTGTCTTAGCCAAAATATATAGAGCATATTTCTAAAGTTTTAAATCAACTTCTGAGACTTGATCATAAAGTATTATCATCTAGGAGCTACTAATGCTTACCTTCTCTGACTGCATTGAGTGGGAGACGAAGCAGGTAGTTTACTATGGCTGACAAACAAGCAAAGCAGGTACTACTTGCTGTGTTCCAGTTCAAAGCAGACAGCAAATGGGTGGCCTAATCATCAAATAAATGGAGAAAAAATAATTCCACTGGTTAATAACTTTAAGTGATAATTAGCAATTATGTGCACTAATGTATCATTGTCATATCTGCATGTTGTGTAAGTTGCTGTTTACAATTGCAAACCTACAATATCTAATAATTATTGCAATAAACTTTTTTATCTCTTCACTTGTAATTTTTGTAATATTCCATTTCAATGATAATAATTAAACCTAAGATTATTTTGCCTTCCATAGTCACATTTTCAAATCCACTTTAATTACAGTCATACAATAATAATAAAATATGCATGGTACATATTTTTCTTGAGTTTGTCATTCAATTTATTTCCCTGGGAAGAAAACAACTGTAAGTCACATACTTTTGATTACTCAGTTTCATATTATTCATGAAGTTGGATTGTCTCAGCAAACTGTGCAAACTGCCCTTACACTAAGGCCCATCAAACATGCTGCAATGATTAGAGAACAGAGTGGGTACTATTTATAAATGGTGCCACCACATAAGGTTTAACCACATGCACACATTCTCTATATACAAGTCATGTTATTTTTGTTTCAATGTTTTCTAACTTATCAAAAACAAAAATCTATAATAATAATACGCTAAGGCTCCGCGGGGGGCGCGACGTCTCGGCGAGCCTTTGTATTCTATTGTTTTTTAATGAGATCGCCGACCGAAGTTGGTGCAGCTATCTCCTCCTGAACCCTCCCCTCGGGGTAACCGTGCCCGGTGCCATCGTCCGCGGGAGAGTCTACTCTGTGGAATTGGCTATACTCCGCCCGAGGTCCTCCTCCGTGTCGACGTCCAGGGCGAAAACAGACGCGATATGCATAATGCAGGATATGCGTGACGACAGAGATACCTCATGGATATTCAACATGACATCCGTAGACACACGACCGATGACTATCCACTCACATTAAGTTGCGTATTAAATGCACTATGCACAGGGTCGGGATTACCCAGAGTAAAGCGTCTTGCTATATGATGTGCTCTGTAGTAGCTAGGTGCTTTGTAGTAGCTGTATCAAACAGACACACAACAGATGACCATCAACTCACATTATGTTACGTATTAAATGCTCTATGCAAAGGGCGGGATAACCCCCGAGTAAGCCATCTTACTATAGGGTGTGCTTTGTACTCGCTGCACAAGCCAGAGAGATACACGGGGCTAATTCCCGTCGACGTCAAAACTTAGAGACCTATTTCCATCATGATTGCCGCGATTTTTATATAGTTTTCGTGAATGGAGGTATGAAATCAAAGCTTATTTTGTGATTATTACGGCCATTTATACTTAATTTTGATTATCATTTTCTAAAGGAAAGTTTTCACAAGAAAACCATTGGACTGACAGTTCAGTCGCAAGCTAACTTCAGTCAACACATACAGTATACACGGTGCTGCGGCTGGGGCGCTTTGACCAAGACTGAGCTGCGCTAGAGTCGAAGAGTTTGGGGGGCCAAGCAGGCCAATATTCGTACAACTATATAACTACACATACGTCTATCCATCCATCGAAGAACCCGTCAACACAACAGCGTGCGGGCCGAAGTGGCAAAAATTTGTTTCTTATCTTTACAGTAAATTACAAGAAAGCATTGAATAAGGTTATGAATTGTACATTTGCATATTAATAGTTCAATATCAACCATGCAGACAGAAGCATGTGCCTTCATGCATTGCAAAACGATCAGTTGCGTAATGAGTAAAATTGTTTGGGGGGGGGGGGGGGTGCAGAAAAAAAATCGGCATCACCATGCACCATTCTTGCATGTTACATGAAGGCTCCAAGAAACATTTTTCAAAGTGGGGAGGGGGGGGGGGGTCAGTTAGATCGCAGCGGGTTGAGTGTATATAGGCGTGGGGTCCACGGGTTTCAAGGGGCCATAAACCTTCGAAAGCTCGGGGTTTTAGGCGTTTAATTAGGGTCAGATGAGCATATTTTTAATACTTTATTTGTGACACTTGCGGGTTACTATTTGGCGTGGGGTCAATACGTAGAGTTGCGTAGTGTTGCGTACCAACTACGCTGGCCTACGTTACTATATGCTGAGGGACGGAAAGGGGTACGCAAGATGAACGAAAACAATTCAACATGTTTAATTTTTTTCGCGTACTTTCGACGTAGAAACTTGACGCAGAAAGTACGCCTTTTTACGCAACACTACGCTACATGCCTACGCAACAGTACGCTACCCTACGCCAGATCGACAAAGCAGTAAAAGCTTTCCACACAGTAAGCAACCATAAGCAAACCTGTACGCCAGCCTACGCATAACCTACGCAGGGACTATTTTCCCATTAATACGCAGCCTAATTTCTGCGTAGTCGGTACGCCACACTACGAAACTCTACGCAGTTCCAGTGGCTTAAAGAATAACTACCGGTACAGTTGGATCGTTTTTTTTTTTTTATATAAGGCCAAATTAAAAAAAAAAACATGTTTAACTTTAGCGTCCTGTTTTTTCAAAAAATGGGAAGGAGGAGACCCTTTTTTTTTTTTTTCTTTCTTTCAAAATGGCCTCTCCGTACATTTTCCCTGACATTCGGGCTATTTTTCAAGATGGCGGCCGACATTTTTTTTTTTTTTTTTTAAATCAGAAATAAATTTTAGCAGTGCTTTTCATGTTTGTTTTCTTTCAAAAAATTCAAAATAAAAAATTCAAAAAAAAAAAAAAAAAATAGGAGGCGGCCCCCAAAAAGGAAGCGGGCGGGGACGCTGTTTTTTTACCTTTCGAAAAAAACAAAAAAACAAAAAAACAAATTAAACAAATTTTTAAAAAAAAATTTGGAGGCGGCCTCCAAAAAAGGAAGCGGGCGGGGACGTTAAACATGTATATTTTTTTAATGGCCTGAATGGCAAATAAAGTTCTTGGTGGTTTTAATTTAGACAGTCTCTATATATCTATTTACACCCCCCCCCCCCCCCCCTCTAGAATCCAGCGGATTTCCGCGGGTCCTGCTAGTATATAATATTCGTTCGTTCGTGTCTCCTTAGATCAAGATTACTGTAATCTTGATCTTCGGAGTAGTTGCTACAACCGGCCGTGTCAGACACGTTGCCCCGGGGTGCGAGATAGGACTCTTGTAGCGTGCCCCCATTTAAAACAATTATACAGTTACAGTTATATAATATTAATTTAAATGTATTTGAAAACTTTCAACATATATGCCATGAGATTTATATCACAACTTATTACAAATGAAATTCTTACCTCATCAATCTGATCATTAGCCAGATAGAGATGGGTGAGCTGTTGTGCTCCTAGGCTACCTCGGCTCATCACTCCTAGTCCCATCTGTACCAACACCAGTGGTCCTCTGAAACATACATAAGGATATCCCATTAGAAAATCTTTTAATATCATTTTATTCAAGAACAGAGCAACACAGTTGCTTATCACGAAGTTTAATTTCGATTTCAAAGCCTATTACATTTATCAAAAGTACAAGGAATATATCTAATACAATACAAATATAGAAAAGCAATTTGAAAAATTCACAAAAAGGATGAAAGGAACATTATAACAACCTTAGAAATTGTGAGGAAGGAGCAGATGGCAACTTGTCTTTCTGTTGCTAATCCTCTTATATTAATTCATTGTAAAGCAAATATCTATGCCAAAAAGGGATATTCATATCTCACATTGGGAGTGATACGTATTTTAGGTCCCACATACATTATAATATCAATATCAGCAGCCCACATTTTAAATCAACATATATATTTGAGAGTGGCAAGAATTGATAGTCATTATATGATATATTTATATAGTAACCGATTGAAAGTGATGAAATAAGCACTGGTGGCCAACACAATACATATGTTTGAGGGTGATAAACATTGATAACTATATATTTGAATCCATGTTACCTATTGAGAGTGATAAGCATAGAGTCCTGAGCGTCAGGAATGCTGTCCCAGGAACATGATGGTGACGACGCCCAAGATAAATCTACAATATGGCTTTCAAGTCTACGGAAGGAAAACAAAATAATGATCAGAGGACAGTAAGTAACATTTCACCACAATTTATACATGATGTACTGACAAATAGGAGGGAAATACAAGTACCGCATATCTTAAAGGCACACAATTCCCATTTCAGTGAAGCCTGCATTATCTTCTTTTAAAGCTTATCTGCCATAGTTTACAGGAGGGATAAGACCGCCCTGCAAGGTCACTGGACAGGTGGTTATCTCATCAACTCAGCTCTCAGTTAACATAAGAAAAAGAGGATTATGGGGGACCAATGGTCACCGATTAGGCATTGTTTGGATATAGAGGGCGCAAGTAGCTACAAGTAGTGCAGTGGGCCTTTAATATCAGATACTGAATGTTATGCAAAAACACAAATGGAGAGCTCACATCACTTTGGATTTGAAAGGGGATTATTTTGTATGTATTGTCATTGTTCACCTTGATTTTGTATCATTAGCTTTATGACCTTACATCAAAACTTAATTTAAGGGTTGTGATTTGAAAATAACTGATGATATTGAAGCAGAGGTAAATATAAGATTCACTTTAACAGTGCACAGTAACCTAACTACATAAGATTAAAAGCCAGATTTAAAACCAGAATTGGGGGGGGGGGGAGGCTAAGGTAGATTTAACCTAAAACCGAATGGGAATCCTAACCCTAACCCTATATCTTGTATGAAATAAAGCCACATCAAATTTGGAATCACATATTTCCTCACCTGAAATGAGTTGTTAAGGATAGAACAGACTTGGGTTCAAGCTGCTCAGAGTTTGAGTAGAAGAACAGAGTATTCAGAGCCATGTCAAAGCACTGCAGGTCAAATGACAAAGGTTATCATGAAAATCAAAATACATCAAATATAAACATTTTGAAAAAAATGTTATTCTATACAGGTATATAAACATTGGGAAGCTTAAGATTTTAGTCATCTCACCCACATCAAAATATTTTTTTCCTTCATTTTTCAGTAGTTTTCACTTCAAATGATGCCAAATTATGTATGCACAGCTTATCCATTAGTTCTTATTCAAACAAGTAAAATACTTAGAGCATTATAATCCTACCATCATAAAAGTTTACAACATCCTGGATTTAAAGTTTATTTGTTATTTATTCCTAACAAAGTAGAAATGACTGCTTCTTTACTCTCTACTTTTCTGTGAATCTATTAAACATGAAACAGCAAACGCCCAAGAAATAATCTCTATTTCAGTATCGATGAAGACCTATTTTTCCAGTGTAATCACACATGAGTGTAGGATTCCTATATCGCCTGCTGGCTCTGTTTAAAGAACAAGTCATATGACTGTTATCTTCCGACATCAAAGTTAATCACATTTCAATTAGGCCTAAAAAAAAGATGTTGTATTGCCCTTTTCAACTGACCCGAAAATCTTGAAATCTACGGTCAAGTTTTTTTTTAAAGTTTTTTTTTTAAATGGTTTTTAGAGAAAAAAATATTAAAGCATTCAAAACTGAGAAATATTAACCAAAAAGAGGGAGGAAAAGTATTTAAAAAATAAAAGATTTCTGACCGATCGACCCATGTTTTGGCTCCTAACGGGCAATATAACATTTTTTTTTTTTTAGGCCTGATTTGTACTACACTCCTGAAATACTAGCTCACTATCACATTGCATAGAATTTAGTGTGAAGATACCTGTATCTTTCCTGCTGTGCTTCCCACAATAAAGACTGAATCACCAGGATGCCATGAGATGAACTGGGGAACCTGATCAAATACAGAGTCACTAATGGTTAAAACAAATATGATGTAAATTATCCTTATCATATCAAGTATGGATGCTTCAAAAATTTGACCAAGTTTGCCAAAAGTGTCATAGATCATTTACAAGTAATTTAATAAATGGCCATCTTCTTTAAGATGATGACATAGTGTTTCTATGTAAGCAGCACACAAACTGGTTGAATTTAACACTCAAACATTAAACATTCAATATTTAAATAATTCAAAGGCTTTATTAACATCACTTATTACTTCCTTGTAAATTACTTGTAAATCATTAGAATGATTCCCCAACATTTTTAGTGTTATTTTATAAATAAAAAGATACTTTATTCATGTTAGCTTTTTTATCATTGTAAAGTACATATGAATATTTCCAATGATTCCTCAAGGGATTACTATATTTGAAATTCCAAACATTTTGCAATTTAATGTGAACTATTATGTGGGAAAATGATGCCCTATATACCATTTGCCACATAAAATTAAGAAAATTGTTTACTAGTGCATCCTTTTTCTAATGCTAAAGCAAGATCTTTTTTAAGTAAAATATTTGAGAGCATAAACTGTGAAAACTGTTATGTTTATTTTACTACTGCAAATCAAGAGGCAAGAGCACTTACTAAGTCAGTCTGAATGTACTGTGTTATAAGAGCACTTACTAAGTCAGTCTGAATGTACTGTGTTATAAGAGCACTTACTAAGTCAGTCTGAATGTACTGTGTTATAAGAGCACTTACTAAGTCAGTCTGAATGTACTGTGTTATAAGAGCACTTACTAAGTCAGTCTGAATGTACTGTGTTATAAGAGCACTTACTAAGTCAGTCTGAATGTACTGTGTTATAAGAGCACTTACTAAGTCAGTCTGAATGTACTGTGTTATAAGAGCACTTACTAAGTCAGTCTGAATGTACTGTGTTATAAGAGCACTTACTAAGTCAGTCTGAATGTACTGTGTTATAAGAGCACTTACTAAGTCAGTCTGAATGTACTGTGTTATCCTCTTGCTTTCATTATAGAGCACCTGTCAAAAAGAAAAGTATAAAGTGCAGATGTGGAAAAATATTATTCATACGATGAAATGTACTTTAGAGAATTTACAGATACGGTATTAAGCAAATAACTTTTGTTTGTAACCTTGTCATAACGTGGTGCAAAACATTAACAATTATGAAAGTGTGTATATATTTTATAACCCTTTAAAAATAATGTCATCAAAATATATTTGTAGGCCAACTCTAACCAAAGCAGAAACAGTAATGTATATGAGGAAGCATGTGAAGCTTACACAGGTTAATTTGTAAAATAAAATGTTAACATAACTAAGAAATTTCTCCTTATGAAGTGGGGGAAACTAACATGTCTGCCTTTCAAAAGGCACATAGACTTTAAAGGGCTATATGAATGACTTTAAAAATAAAAAAATCCCAGAATATAATCTCAATCTAATTATGTATTTCTAATCAATAAATGATGCTCTAATTCGATTAAAGTTGTATTAGTGAGAAGAAAAAGAAAAAAAATTACCAATCTGCAATCTGCACATCCCAGTATAATCTTATCTTCATTGTGATTTCTGCCGTATGTAAGAACTGGTGCTGAAAATGAAAAAAAGGTACAGATTCCAACGTTTCATTTAGTACATGTAAAATCAGGGCCCTTTTTCATAAAACTTGTTATCAATATCAAATTCTAAACTTCTATAACAAATTGTTCTCAGCCAATCAAATATCATGATTTCAGAAGTTTATAACAGGTATTACCCAAGTTTAATGAAATGGGGCCCTAAACAACGTGGATAGAGATCTCATCTGGCAATATGTTTTCAAGAAACTTTAAAGCAGACTAGAGCTCTGTTCTCTTGCTAAAATTAGAGTAAAATTTTCCAAAGGCTTTGTTTCCCTTATGAAGGGATGAGTCGGGAGACATACCTAAATCATGCATGATGGGTTTAAATATGATCATGCACATAATTGACAACATAATCTACTCATTTCATCTCCTAGTTCTTAAAATCCTTAAAGCTCATGTATAATACAATTATTTTACCATGTATTGACTATTCATGCACAGTCTGGGGAAATTGCTCAAGGCAAAATAAAGAGTTACTCTTAAGATTACAAAAGAGAGCAGCACGTATAATTACATCCAACTATGACTATGAAAATGTTAGAGGTGATGATTTAATAAAATTAATGAAATGGCAATCATTTGACGAAAGGAGAAATTATTTTTTAGCTGTTTTAATGTATAAATCTGTACATGGTATTGCACCAACACATCTGTGTAATGCTATTGAAATGGTCTGCGATAGACATAACTTAAATACTAGAGCCGCTGACAAAACAAATGTAATATTACCAAAACCTAATCTAGAATGCTTTAAGAACAGTCTTATGTACTCAGGAGGAGTTATCTGGAACTCATTACCTATTAACTTACAGAATTCTACATCTATTTCTTCATTTCAATACCTTTATAAAAGATTGTACTTTCATTAATGTTGTAAATAACCAATATCCTCATGGATGTGTGTATATATATTTTTTTTTTTACCCTACTGTAATAAATACAAGTTTGTTAGTTTTTTTTTTCTTGTTTTTTTTTTTTCTTTTTTTTTTCGTACATTGTTTCAAATCATTCTTTTTGTGATCCTGGGTAAACCTTTGAATGTAAATATATGTATCCAGTTGCTGGTTATTTTATAAAATGTTATATTATTCAATATTCATTAATCTATTCATGTTTTGCATATTTCAATGATATTTGTATTTCATTGATATATTGTATTTCATTGTTTGTATTTTACCATGTATGTATATACAGGACCAATATGAAAAACAGCCTTGGTTGATATTGTCATCCTGTATAAATATTTTTAAATAAATAAATAAATAAATAAATAAATTATACAAATATTATATCAGATTTGGAAATAACCCATCTAACCTTTTTAAGATTAGGAGAACTAGATAAATATGAGGAATTATTGCATTTTGTATACTCTTCCAATCTGGATCAAATTTTTTATTATCAGTCCAAAGATTTAAAAAAAATAGAAATAAGCAAAAGAAATATTTACATTTGAGAGGTATTGAAGTCACAGATGCTCTTTGTATCTTTAAGATAAATTAGAAGAAAAAACATATTAACATTGATGATAAATTCTCATTAAAATGAACTCAAGTAATGGTAATTAGGAACTGTTATGCGCAACGGCCACAGCTGTTCACAAGCTCCAACATTTTAGACCATCTTTTTACAACCATTGTCTACTTTCTAGAAAAACAAAGATCATTGCATACATCACATAAAGCCAATCATATCTAAAATCTACCACATGCATAGGTGTCACATTGTTTTTGTATGGCTATTTCATGTTTCATGCATGGAGAATCTAATTTAGAAATGTATTTTTTTCAAAGACTTCTGGATATATTAATGAGCAACTAACACACTTTTGTTTTCACTAGTGTACATATGAAGAGCAGTATGTGTATATGACTTACCCTACTTCTTGAACACTCGTAGATACAGGTATCAATACTGGCTCTACCAGGTGCTACCTCTAATGTATAGATGTGTCTTGGCTGGTTCAAGCTAGTACAAACATAAGAAGGATGTTCAACCACATCTTTACAAACTATTTCTTACAAAAACATATACAGCCAAATGTTATCATTATACTAGAGGGTTAAATCTTATTATTTTGGGAACTGATTATTCTGTATAATCTAAATAGTACCAAAACACACTTCAACAATAGAATATGAAAGGTAAGTGCAAAGAAAGGAGATAATCATAAAAATAAATATTTATAACAGCTCTGATGCAAATCAAACAATTATTCCATATATATATATAACAGGCTTGAAGCAATCTCCAAACTACAAAAAGCAATAGCAAATGCCCCCAAATCACTGGCAGGAAATGAATAAAATTCAGTTCTAAAGCACCATTCAGTACATTCCAGAATTTTTTTGTTGCTAGATATCTTTTTCAATAGATTTATCATCCTAATAATACCGGTAACCTAGAAAAGAATCACATCAGCAATCATATCAACGTACCTGAAATCAACTGCAAATGGCTCATTCTCAGTCCTGACAAAACTGATTTCTTCAAGTTTGGTTCTGAAGAGAGAAAAACAACAATTCATGTAACAGTAATTTCTGAATTGATAGCAATCTTCATTTAAAAAAATTAATTAATTGAAACAACATGCTTTTCTTGAAAATTTCGCGAGAGGACAAAAACAAATTTAAAAACAAACTTCTGTGACCGACCATCAATAGAAAAATCAACTGTATTGCTTTTCACCATACTTAAATACTCTTTCTCATTCTGCAGTTTTTGAAGGTTCCATCTGTTCAGCTGTAGTAATTGTCACTTAATCATTGACAGCATAAACAAACAATTATTCTGTCCTTCTCTGCAGTTACAGGCGAGCCCATCATAGCATAGACCTACTTCTTAGTAGGTCCATGATCAGAGTCAGGTCCAAGAGACTTTAGCCCACCATGCACAGTTTACAATTCAACTGGATAAAACATCAATGCACTTACCCATTGACGGCATAAACAAACAAATTTGCTCTGTCTTTCTCTGCGGCTACAGGAGGGGCCCACTGAAGAGAGGTCTCAGAGGCAGTGGCCCACCATGCTAATACCTATACAAAACAAAATACAGAAAAGCATGTTAGTAGTTACTCAGGGGCTAGATCTCAATAAACATGTGTTTAGACTCAGGTTCAGTACCACCGTAATTCAATGACAACCAAGTGGACTGTAATAATATTCCAATATTGGGCTTTGTAGTTTCTTCTGCACAATGCTATAGTAATGATGTTAAACATATTCAATATATGTTCTTTACTCAGTTTGTATACCGTACCTTGAATTATTGCCCAGTAACCTTCACTTTTTTAGACAAAAGAGAAGCATGATAAGGGGTGACAATTACTATACTAAAAGCCACAGTGTATAAATCTTGTAAACCAATGAAAGAGAATAGGTGAAGGAAGAAAACTCACATTAAAATCACATCTACTTTTTACAAGGAATACAATTCTACTAAACAGAGGGCAGTAGTCAATTCATTATTTCATTCACTGAAAAATCTCAATTTCATTTTTATTGAAGTGATGCCATTACTTACCCATTCTTGATTGATGTTTACAGATAGAGTTCTCTTCAGTTTTTTGTTCTTGGAGCCAGGGAGATCAACTTGTGAATACTTAAAACAAAACAAAAAGAATATACATGTTTCTTGGTATTGCAAATTCTCTTAACATTAGGGATAGATCACATGAGTATATATACATTAACAATTCCATGTTTGAAGATTTTCATTCATTTTTTAAATTTTATTTTGTGTTGGTAATAGTCTTTCTTTTGTATACTATTATGTAATCTGTTAAATATTTTGAGATGCTGTGAAGCACTTGATTGGTCTACAGAGCTTGTACACAGTGAGTGTCTGCTGTTCAACAACATTGAACCATTTTGTAAAATTGTTACATTAAAATATCATTATTTTTATTAGCATTAACAGCTGAATTTCCTAAGTGCATAGATATAAGAAACTGATGCTCTATTCCATGAGGTTTTCAGAATTGTAATAGTTGGATTTTCACTGATTTATTTGAATTACCTTGGGATCTAAGGAGGACAGTTTCTCAACTTTCTTGGAAGAGTCTCCAGAAGGATTTGTCTTCTTACTGAAGTAAATGAAGGTTGCTTTAGGTTTCTCATTCCATGTGCACAAGATGAAGGAGGTTGTCATGACAGCTGAATGAAAACAAGATAAGATAACGAATGACCCTTTCAAAAATGTAATAAAATGAGGTTTATTAACAGCATCATTTCATATCAAGATAAGGGAGAAAGTCACTTTGCAATTTATTATTTAAACTGTTATTATCAAATTATAACTCTTATTGTCCAACTAGAATGTACGCTCTCTGTTAATAACTCTAATACACTATAAAGCCTGTCTGTAATCATTACATCTCCCTAAAGCAACAATGAAATATTTATTTTAAAAATGTCTGGGGAACAATCAATTTTCATCATGCAAGATATCATATGTGAACTTACCATGATTGATAGAGGGAGGAACTTTCCCTTGCAGACTCTTATCAATAACCAGCCTATCAATATCCCCACTGTGACTGGCTACTTGTATGGATAACAGCACACAGTTACTCAACAGGAGCTGGACATGCTTCTGAGATCGCCAGAGTGTAGCAACAATCGCATGACTCGCAAGAAGTTCCTTCACAAAAAAAAAAAAAAAAAAAAGGAATCAAATCAAATAATAATAATTCTTTGTTCTTTTATAGCGCATTTCATGTCTGTTGACATTTCAATGCGCTTTACAATATAGGGGACCTACATATATATAAAGTTTAACAAGATCATAAAAGGAAGATAAAACAGAAACATATAGAAAAACATGAAGTGCATACAAAGAGAAAGATTACAACATCTTATCCTTTAATACTATTGATGTGGTAATTTGAAAAGATAAGTTGTGAGTTTAGATATGAATGTTTCAATATTGGATATACAATGTAATGAGTTTGGGAGGGAATTCCATAAAAATGGTGCTAGCCCTATCACCATATGCTTTTGTTCTGCCTCTCTTAGCTATGAATGATTAATTTGTTTTAAGTTCATTGACACAAATGCTGTTAGTAATTTTTTTAAAATATAGTATTAATATCTATACCTTCCACAAGAGATCAAAAGACAAATCTACAAAGGTAATAATATGATTGCAGGGCCATAAGGGAGAGAACAGTATGAATACTGATGAGGCTACCCTGGGTAAACAAGACATAATATTATTATTATTGTTATTATTATTGTTACTTACAGTCTCCCTATTTACTCTCTTTCCTTAGTCCTTAATTGTGTATAATTTTCCCATTTAGTCTGGAATATCTTGATGCTTCTCAGTAAGAAATAAACATATTTGTATATTCACTTTAATCACACATTTTGATTTTTAGTGATCCAAACTGTACCTCTGCTTCTTTGAGGAGATCCCTAAGTTTGTCAGGCCTTCTGTTCTTGGGCGTCCAAACTTGATCTCGACCTAAAATATTAGAAATAGATATAGGTTTTTAATAAATATATCATATATATCTTTCATCATGAAGGCAAAGACATAAAATCATATATAAATGTATTTATACAATTTGTAAATTATCATACACATTCAACTGTTCTTGAAATGATATTCCAATCTCACAAACATTATTTAAGTTTGACTGCAATTAATTAATTTTCATAAAAATGTACACATGGTGGCACCACTGGAAGGGTAAGCATGATCAGAAAATAATCCCACATTTGCCATCCTCCTCAGTAACTAGGTTTCTGTTCATATCCATTCTTGGCTGTCCTAGAAATTGTGCTTTCATCATCGATATGTGTAAATTTATATCTTTATCAAGACTCTCCTTATGGGGAATGCAAAAGTCCTATAAATCTTAGCATATATATAATAAGCCAATTACAAACCACTTACAGTTGCCTTTCGTAGGCTTTTTAAAATATATACATCCCAATGGCTGACCAATACTTACTTTCAAAATACTGCTGCTTCTGATCCATATAACCAGTGTTAACTGAATGTAGAGAAAAGGAAATCAAATGAAAGCAAAGTCAATGCTACAGTTATAATCTTCTGAGGACACTACCCATCAATAATATAATTTGAATGCATCATAAATATTAACTTAAAAATTCTTATCTATATCTATCATTTCCATTAAAGGCAGAGTTTTCAGAAGGAAAAAAAAAGACAAAACTTTGGTAATAAATCGGGTAAATTTTGCTTTAAGAATAAATACATAATAAAAATAATGAAACTTGATATCTTACCCATGTCTCCTTTGTCATAGTATGTATGACATCCAATGTTTGCATCTAAAATGTAAAAGTTTTTAAATACGATTAATCAAATTTTTTTCTTCAATAAAGTTTCTGAACCCCATACAAAATGGGGTGGGTATATTCAAAGTATTAAGACTCAACCAATCGAGTACATTTGCAGTGGCAAGACAATAACAAACATTCAGAAATAAAATAAAAACTTTTCAAATTACAAGGGCAATGCTAAAATTTATCAATTATATCTTATACCCAAAGCAGCTAAACAAATATTTCATCTTAACCTAAGAAATCTAGCAAATAACAAAGTTGAGTTGGCAAAAATGGTGAATAAATTTACAAACACAACATAACACTAATTAGTAAGACAACACTAATCATTCTACCAGTTTTGTCCATGTTGATAATAACATCTTGTAAGCAACTAAGGGCTTTCATCTTTTTTTCTTTTTTTTTTCTTTTTTTTTCAGACGATAAATTACCTTTGATATCCATGGCACCTTTCATGGACCAGATGTAGAGTTCTACCAGACATCCTGCCATCTTGGAATACATCAAGCTTGCACTGAACAGACAACGGTTCAACTTCCCATATCAAATAATCCAGAATAAAAGTCAAAGGCTTATTCGTGATCCTCGCACTGGGGATAAACAAGATGTGTAATTAAATTTGAATTCTAAGATATTTGAAGATAGTCAAAACTAAATATCTAGTTAATATCCTCAGCAGATATGCATGATATCATCGTTCCTGAATTTCATTTTGAAATGAAGTTACATTACAATTGTTACATTACAAGTTACAATTGTCTGTGTACTTTTGAGAACATCCCGCCCCCCCCCCTCTCATTAGGATATGACACAAATTAACAGAAGGTGCAAGAAGCATACAATTTTATCACGTGATATGAACTTGTCACCACATTTATGATCCAAGATGTCTTTTACTTAGTCTTAGTTAGCCTATGCGACTTAACTTTAGAATACCCCACCAATACTTATACTAGGGTTAATGCCATCCAGCAAAGCACAGAGTCAATGCTAATGCGTATTGACCTATAGCACTGTATACTTGCTGAGCTAGGCAGCAATTGCACATCTATATTACTAATACGCAAAATCGCCGCGGGGGGTCCAACACGGGCCAAAACCGTTCCTCAAAAACGTCTTTCCTCGACCCCGCCCGCCTCCGCCATGGCGCGGGGAGGGCGGCACAATTCCACGAGGCCTGTCTCCCGTAACCCGCGTGCCACGTCGACCCCGCGATCGACGTCCATGCATTTAAACGCGGTTTCGGGGCGGCCGGGGAGGACGGGCGGACGAGAGCACGGCGGGCGTCGTGGATTGCGAGGAGGCGACGAACCCGCGAGAGCGAGTTGACAAGGCGTGCACCCGCCCTCTGTCTAATTATCAAAGAGAGACGAAGAGACACACGATAGACGAGAATCCACTCGCGTCAACGGGTGTAGCAAGTCTCATTGTAAAGGCTGCGGCGTATCTTGAGTAAGGCCTCTTGCTATAGGATTTGCTTTGTAGCGTGTAAGAGAAATACACATCAACAGATGACTCACGCGGGTGATGGGATGTAGCCAATATGTACGCTCAACGGGTTGAGCTTACCCGTGTTATGGGTCTTTCTATAGGATATGCTTTGTAGTACGTGTATTACACGCTCTCAGGTCACACACATGCACACACCACAGTCGATTCGAGTCGAGTCGATTCGAGTCGAGGCGATTGCGACAACTGGCGCAAACCATGGACCTATTTTCACGTAAAATCTTTACTCTGAAAATAATTATACAAATTCTGTGATCTATGCCAACATAATCATAGTCCAAGCTTCTGTTTTATTGGTCTTTTCATGAAAACTACATCGAAATCACAACAAGAATAGCGCAAATAGATCTGTGATAGTACGCCTTCACGTGACAGTTCAGTTGCAAACTGCCTTGAGTCTGCACAGTGTATTGCCACCGCAGCTGAGCGCTGCTGTCGGCGGTGCTGTCGGAGCGCCTGAGTGTGTGAGCGGTGACCGGAGTAGCCAGGCCTGTCCGTGGTGTGAGGAGAGTCTAAACAACACTTTGAAATTGTTATTATTGCCCCGATTTCAATATAGTTTCGTGAATAGATGTATGAAACCTGGGCTTGGATTGTGATTATTCTGGCCATGTATAGTTGTATACTGAATTTCGATAATCATTTTTCACAAGAAAATCAGCAATCGTCATGGTCGTTTAAAAACATGATAATACTTTTAGTATGATACAGTTCTTGCATCAAATCAATTTTTAAAGTATGGGGGGGGGAGGTCAGGTAACTCAAAGCGATTTGAGTGCAGGCGTGGTGTCCACGGGTACAAAGGGCTGAACCCCCGAAAGCTCAGGGGTTTTAGGCATTTAATTACGGTCAGATGAGCATATTTTTAATGCCTTATTTGTGACACTGGCAGGTCGATCACTAATTGGCGTGGGGTCCATAGTAGAGTTGCGTACCAACTACGCTGAGCTGAGAGTACGCTGGCCTACGTTACTATACCCTGAGGGACGCAAAAAAGTACGCAAGATGGACGCAAACAATTTAATATGTTTAACAAAATTTGCGCAATTTCGGCGTAGAAACTTGACGCAGAAAGTACGCCTTTTTTTACGTAACACTACGCTACTAAACTAAACAAACTGCATCTTTAAATGAATTAATGAAAAATTAGCCCAAGAATAATGAGCCCCCGAAAAATAAAAAAGTAGCCCCCAAAAATTTTCCCAAAATTTGATATAGATCGAGTCCCCGAAAAAAAAAAATCTTTCACTGGATTCTACGCTCACAGTCCCACACACAGTCGAGTCAATTTGTGCACAAACCGTCCGATTTTTCGCGTAAAATCTTTACTTTGAAAATAATTATACACATTTTGTGAACAATGCCAACATAATCATAATCCAAGCCTCTGCATAATTATGTAGTCTTTTCATGAAACTACATTGATACAATAATAATGCAAATGATCGAGATCCTCTCTGACATAGTTTGTTTTACGATGCGCCATTCATGGTCAAACAGCATATATTATAAAAATTCTCTATATAAAGATAATCTAATTTTTTTTTTTTGGATAGCACATAGGCCTCTATCTATCTATTTGGCCCCCTCCCCTAGAATCCCGTGGATTTTCCACGGGTCCTCCTAGTAATATACTAATGCACACAATGAATACAAAATGGTTGATCGGTAAGTTTGACAGTAGACTCACGATTTGAATTTTCAAAGTTTTCTTTCCAACATCAGTGTCATCAATTGTCACTTAAGTACCAATTTTGAGTGAACTCAGGTGAGTTTTGTACAGTGGTGTTTGAAATGTTGAGAAACAATAGAGGTTGTCTAAACAGTTTTTAATACACAGCCATGATAGTAATGCAGCTTTGTGTGGGGTTAATGTACATAGACATCAAAGACCTATGGTTAGAGTTAGTGTTAGGATTTGGTTTAGTGTTACGAAACTTAAGTCTTCAGCTTTAGCTTAGTGAAGCATTTGGCACCCTACAAATGTCTGGTCAATTTTTGTGGTGGGGTATTCTAAAAACAGCTAGTTAGTCACTCCACCTATCATGTGCCTATGCTTAGCATTAGATGATAGGTTAAATTATATTTTCATAGTTAAATATTTTTGAAGCAATTTAGAAATTAACTGAGCCGACGTAAGAGCACTTTTTTTTTTGTGTCCTCCAAATTTTGCAACGACTCAGCCAGCCGCTGAATAAGCAGGGGGGGGGGGGGGGGGGGGGGGGTAAGAGCACATTTTTTTTTTTTTTTTGGTGTCCCAAAAATTTCGCAACGGCTCAGAGGGGGGGGGGAGGGGGTAAGGTCACTTTTGGGGGGTCACCCTTTGGTAAAAAAATATATTAGCGATGTCCCCTTAAGTGACCGAATACCGGGCGCGCTACCCTAGATCTAGATCTATGTACTTGTACATTAGCACCTTGCATGGTCAGAACGTAGGAACTTCAACTTTAGCTTACATCTGGTGCATGCGCATAATCTTCATCAAATCTCAGCGGATTGCAGCCTCATTTTCCTAAATTGGCGCAGACAAGGGCCCTTCTTATTCATTGGCAAGATATGTTACAAGATATTGGTGCGAGGAGAAAGCTTGCGATTTTCTGTTTGATCCGATACCAACTCATTATATTTCAGTCAAACCCTCTCTTTGTTACAAATTTTTCAGCATCCTTAAAAGGATAAGTATCTTATTTAAGTTTAAGCCTTACGTAACTTTTTTTAAAGTTTGAACAATTCTCATTTTCGTCACATTTAATGAAAATTTATTCTGAAATAGATTCTATTATTATTATTTCATGTGTGCAATCCTATGTGTGCGTCAGTTATGCGTGAAGTCCTTAACCTGTTTAAAACACGACATGTCATATTACGTAAATTGACATTGCCATTGAGCTTAAAGTTGTGCTTAAGTAGTAGGCCCTCTCTCACTTACATTCGAAGCCACTCAAGAGGATCGGCCAATGGGAGCGCATAAACTCATGGTACAGCGCTCAATGCGCAAAGCTCTACGTTCTACCCCACTTATTCAGCGGCTGACCGAGACGTTGCAAAATTTTCAGCCCCATTTAAAAATGTTAACCCCCCCCCCCCTTGAAAAAATCCTGCGTATGCCACTGCCTGCCCTCCATCCCCGCTTCAAACATGAGCCTCTTCCTGGCCTAAGCTAAGCTTTTCGATCGGCCCTATCCCTCGCTCAAGCTGCTAGCTGCGTCCTACTCCTAGCTAGTCGTTCGTTAACCAACCTCGCGCTCGGATAGGGCATAATCATGTCGGATGAAGCCGTCGGATGAGACTGAGACCGAGAGAGGATCTTACTTTTTTCTTACCATGAAATTATCGTCTGTAGTACTACTAGTAGCTGTTTTATCACAAAAGATTAGATCTCATGTTGAGGTCGAGAATGAGAAATACAGGTCGTCTTATCAAACAATGATTTTCCTTTTGCTTAGATTGAATGTTACTTGTAATTTGTGAAAATATATGTAAACAACTAGCATATATATTTTCGAACCAAGAGGGCAATAAAGTGAAGAATTTTAAATTGTACGGTGTCCGAAAACACCATTCTTTGCGGAATTCTAAATCAAAATCAAAATAAGTATTGAAGAAGTTGAATAATCTAAACCTAATTGTAGTAAGATATTCAATTTACTTTATATTTTGTAATAATTCAAACGTAGCAACCATAGAGTCATTAATTTATTAATGTATCACACAGACTTTCAGTTTCATTGGCCTTGTATAGTGTCGTGTGTATTATTTGAACTCTTAATTGTAATGAAGTCCAAATTGTTTATATGCATTGCACTGACTAATAAATAAATGAATAAATGAACAATATCCGTGATCTGCAAGCACTTAAGTATGAATGGGTGGTATTCTCTTAAGTTAAGCCGGGACTAAGTCCAGACTAAACAAGAATTTTAGTTCGCACTTCTATGGAATGCTAGGTTTCATCTTCCTCCTTCAATATTCATGACAAAGATAATCTACCAAGGACTTTGTTGAAATTTAGTGTATACTCATATTATCTTTTTCTTTCTATTTCAGTGCAAAATTAATTTTTTGGACACTTTTCATTGAAGGATTAAAATAATCTGTTCAGGGTAAATTAGTTCACAACAAGCACTCCATAAAAGTGTGAACTAACTAAGCACGCGCTAACTTAGTACGCGCTACCGGAATGTCTAAACCTACATTTCCCTTATAATAGTACTATTCAGGACGGAATCAAGGATTTCAAATATATCAGGTTACACTGTCAACATAATTATATCATGACGCTCAGCAAATTAATCCAATCACGAATAGAACAAACGAGAGAGCGGGCCAAATTCGTGAGAAAATATTTTGAGAAGCGGGGGGGGGGGGGGGTGGGGGGTAATGAGCACTAATGATATATATATATTGCTCAACAGGGGGGTGGGGGATAGTGAGCACTATTTTTATTTACTCAACACCTCCCCCCTACCCTTGAGCATTACTGAAAAAAAAGTTGTGGTTAACTTTTTTTTTGCCACCCCCCCCCCCTGGATCCGATCCGGTACAGTGCTCCCACTTTCTAAGTTCCCCAAAAGTTCCCCTATTAACTTGTAAAAATCCCCTTATTAATTTGACAAGTGCCCCTTTTCCTTCGACAAGTTCCAATTTTCCTTTACAAAGTAAGTGTCCATTTTCCATTCTCAAAAGTGCCCTTTTTAATCTTTATATAGTAAGTGCATCTTTTCAGATACGAGATGTGTCCCATTCGCTTTTGATAAGTGCCTCCTTCACCTCTGATAATTGCCCTATTTAAATCTGAGAGATGCCCCTTTTACTTTGACAAGTGCCCCTTTTCCTCGAGTAATAAGTGCCCCTGTTCCTAATGATAAGTATACCCCCATTAAAAGAGAGCCCCTTCCTCTTTTCATTAATGCCCCTATTTATTTCTGGTAAATGACCACTTTCAGTTACGAGAAATTATTCCTTTTCATTTTAGACAATTAGTGCCCCCTTCACCTCTGAAAAGTGCCCCAGTTTAAAATCTGATAGAGGCTCGTTCTACTTTGACAAGTGCCCCTTAGTTTCCATAATTTCCCCTTTCCATCTCTGATAAGTACCCCGTTATTTCGCCATGTGCCTCTTTTTTCTTTTAAATAAGAGCCACTTCCCCCTTCTCATAAAAACCCCTTTCAGCTCCGATAAATGCCCCTATCAAAATATGCTTGGTACCCTTTTTTAAAAAACTAATGCACATTTTCCTTTAACTATAAGTGCCCCTTTTTTCATTCTCCATAAGTCCCCCTTTTCATATCTGGTCAGGGCCCCTTTTCAGGTGCGATAAGTGCCCATTTTCACCTCTGATAATTTCTCTTTTAACAATGATGTCCCCTTTTCCTCTCATTCATTAAACACGCCCCTATTGTTAGTGACTAAGAGCAATTTTCCCCCAAAGCTCACCCGCATTCATAAATGATATAATTATGTTAATTTAAAGTTCTTTTCAGACCACCGTTATGTGAATGTGCTTGTACCCCATCAGGATTGGGTTTTTCCCTCTATTTAAGATATTTAGTAGGCTTGCGAATATATAAGATGTTAATTTTTGCACTGCGGTTTTTCCACGATTGCTTCGCTCGCTTGCAAATTTTCAGACCTTCACACCCAACTGCAAGGTATAATGCATGTTTTGTATGTTGTATAAAGAAAACAAATATTTAAATCATCCCTGGTAATGTAATCACCATGTAGGGGGTATACACCAATGTCTAAAAATGTGTATATTTTCGCTTTGAGATTTTCCTTTGTATGTGCCCTTTTTTGTTGGTGTGCTCCACCCCCCCCCCCCAAATCCCACCTTGGCAGTCGCTCCGTCTCCCCTGCGCTGACAGGAGAAGCTTGCACACATTAAAAAAAAATCTATTCATTTCATCTTTAGTTCAACATCTGATCCAAAAGGGATATTCCACGGGGGGGGGGGGGGTATATAATTGCATGTGACCCGCAGGCTGCACTCGAGGAAAGGGAAAAGAATCATGATCCAAAATGAACCAATGAATTGTGGATTGAGGAACAAGTCAATAGAAACTACATATTACTTAATCCGCTTATTGATGTTCAAAATTTATTGTTAGATAAGGTCTTTACTCTATAATGAAGGTGTATTGGGCTGTGTTTTTTTTTGCTCCCGAAAAGTTGAAAATCGTGCCGGCCGATAATTCGCTCAGGGGGGGGGGGGGGGGGGGGGAGGGAGTGAGCCCTAATTTTTTTTTTGTGGCCCTCGAAAATTTGAAAAAACGACCCCCCCCCCCTTGAGCGCCAGAGGAGGGGGCCCATCTCCAAAAAAAGGTAAAATTGACGTGGGACAACCTTGGACAAACAACTGTCTGGAACTAGAACAAAGCTGCCTAGTTGGACGATACTCATTGAGAAGCTGTTGTAAATATAGAGAGAAGCCAATTTATGCTGACATTTGAATGTTATTGGAAGAACTTTAAATATTAATGTAGCTTTAACTGGCAGCCAACCGGTCTAGATTTTGAAGCTTTATATACATGCATATATATATAGCGGACTCATGCATATATAATGTAAAAAGTTTTTTAATATTTTCAATTATGTGTTTGTTAAGAAATCAAAACATAACATATACAAACTTTTGAAGGAAATACAAAAAATTAATGACAAATTAGGATATTTCCTAACGATTGAGATGATCTGGAAGACTAAATAAAAAAGTTCACTCCGGAGCCCTCATATATGCCTATGATTTCCGTAATCCTGTGCAAATTTCCTGAAATCATGTTTTTTAGGGTTAAATCTGCAAGAATATGCAATTTCATTGTTTACCCGCGGGGGCCATTATACTTAAGCCACAGTCGATCGCCTCTGTTTTTTGTTTGATTTCATTGAATTTATTTCTCAAAACTCCAATTCCTTTCATACTGACATAAAGAAACAAAGCATTTTCCATAGTCCTAGATTATACAAGCTGAAACTTTTTATAACAAAACCTTTTTTATCATTTGGTAACAAACATAAATACAATATAATTCATTGCTCATAATGTCACAACTAGTGTGAACTGTAATCGATTTTTAGAGAAATAGTAAGTGATAGTGCAATTAATTGTCTTAAAAAGAATATACAAAATTAATAACTGTTTTTTTTTGGATGGATTTTGGGGGGAATTTTTTGGGGGAATATTTTTGTTTTTCTTCACAACCCTGCATTTAATTGACCCCCCCCCCCCCCCACTCAACTCCCGAAAAGAAAAAGATATGCACATATATATATATATAACTTTTCTACCTTTTTCTCCTTTTTAGACTACACCTTAGCGGTGCTGTGTGATGTTTTTGATCGATAATTTCAGCTTACCCGGTATATGGAAATTTTCAGTTGTCCGATCAGGTGCCTTGATAATGTGGGCGTTTCGGAGGTGAGAAGACCTTTATAATTTACCATTTACTAAGGTTGTTTCGATATAAACGTTACATGTATATGATCGTTTATATCTTCTGAAATAGTTTTGGTAGGTTAGGTACCATTGCCAAGCTTCTTTACGATATTAATTGTCATTTTGTTATGTCTATTTTTGGCACTGCTTGATGCATCGGATTGCCTTGGAATTTGCATTGCGCAGCTAGCAGCTGAAGCTCTCGCTTCGATGGGAACCCTGCGGAGCTGAGCTGAGCGTAGACAGAAATAACCATCTGATTTGGGTCATTTCTTTAATAAAACTGACATTTGTTGGCCTATAGGCCTATATGTGCATATTTTCGTCCACGACATTTTCTCCCCGATTTTCTTTATTTAGATCTAGATCTAATTTCCTGATTTCTAAATCAGATGTAAATTAGGTCGGTAGACCTAGATCTATGTCATTTGTCCTAATTACAGTTATCAAAATTTGATAACTCACTATTAAATGGATAATAGGATCTAAATAAGCAAGCTATCGTAAGTCAAATAAGCTATATATATATGTTATTTTTAATTTGTGTTATAATTGCAGCAGTTATGAGGATGTAAAGAGTGAAAATCTCGTTGCATATCTCATTCATCGCGGTCCGGTCGAACCGAACCATTTGTTCCGTACAGTGCCTCACAGAAAGAGGTCCCCAGACTTCAGTCTCTATAATCGGAGGTCTAGTGGAGCCAGACGTAGTCTCAGTGGAACAACCAACGATTAGAGAGACTGAAGCTTTCGGTCTAAGCTGAGCGTCGAGCTACGCGCTACTGACCTAATTTTGGCTTATATTATAGACTACTTTGAAGTTACTTATAGGACTAGACTAGTAGTATAGGATATAGCATTGAGTTCATGTATTTTTTTCTTCAAGTGACAGGTGTGTGACAATGACTGAATGAGTTTTTCATGATTAGAGTAAAGGAGCCGGTTTTCGGCCACTTAGACAAAATCCTATTTTTTGGACCCTTTGGCTTTACTTCCTATTTATTATCATTTCTTGTTCAAATGATGAAGCAAATATTATTATTAGTTAAACAAAAAAAAGAATCCCAGAAAAAAATCATGAATTGCCATGACAATATTCATTTCAATTTTCACTGTTTTGGAGACGGTTATCGACCTAGCGAGTCAGTTTACGACCGCAGGTACAAAGTCAATAGGAAGCGCGCGCGCGACGTGCGTTTCCGCGCTGATCTATAGCACAAGCAGGCGGAGCAGGTATCCCACGCCGGAGCTCCCTGGTGCTCGCTTGGTCGAAAACTAGCACTGCGGTGATCGGAAATTGGAATTTGAATTAGACGGACATATCGTGTGTGCGTCGCGGTGTTCGGCTGCACAGGCAAAAAATTAAGTTTTTCATTTCGGGGGCTCTATTTCAAATTTTGGGGAAATTTTCGGGGGCTACTTTTTCACCTTTCGGGGGCTTTTTTTTCCATTTCGGGGGCTCTTTTTTCTGGGGCTACTTTTTCATTAATTCACAAAAGGATAGGCCTACAGTTTGTTTAGTAGGCTAAGGTAAGGTTTCAGGCTTCCTGCTTCATAATTGCCTATTAAAAAAAGTAACCCCTTTTTCTCGTTCAATAACTAAGTTTTCATGCATTGATTTGATGCAAGAACTGTAACATAATAGACCCTAGATTGTGATTATTTCTGGCCATGAATTTCGATAATCATTTTTCAAAGTAAAATTTTCACAAGAAAATCAGACAGTCGTTTAAAAACGTAGACATTAATAATACTTTTACTAATTCTAAGTTCAGGTTTCGTAAATCTATTCACGAAACTATATTGAAATCGCGGCAATAATGATGCAAACCAACAGATAACAATTTCAAAGTGTCAAATCTCTTCGACTCGAGCTCAGCTAGTCACACACACTGCAGCGTAACTCCAGGAAGCTTCAACACCGGCGCCGCAGGCGTCGGACGCCTGCGCTGCCGGTGTTGGAGCTTCCTGGAGTTACGCTGCAGCTCAACTCACACACTGCACAGCGGCAATGCACTGTATGCGTGTCAGTCACGGTGATTTTGTCTGATTTTTGCTTACTTTGAAGAAATGATTATAAAAAATTACGTAAACATGGCGAGAATATCACAAAATATGCTTCAATTTCATACCTCTATTTATGGAAACTTTATAAAATTGCGGCAATCGTGAATTCGTGATGGAAATTGATTGCAGTTTCACGATGTTTAGTGGTTCATGGTCTAGATTCAACTTCTACCAAAACAAAATCGACCGCCAAAAACTCGACCCCTACGCTCCGTCTCGATCTCGCAACTGCAAAAATGTACGCGTTTTGGCGTACTTGCATGCGACATGGTAAGCCAGGTAAGGTATGGAATATGGTTCGAGTTTTTTTACGACCGATTTTTGTGTATACAATTTTACACTGAGATTCAGCGCGCGGACCAAGAAATGCACGCAATGAATACGAGGCTAGAAGAGAGCGCGCGACCGCTCGTAATCGTTACGGGGGCGATTTGAGATCATTTCACTTTTTTTATGTCGCCCCCGAAATCGGATTTTGAGCCTATTTCGGGGGGCTGTTTATGGTCTTTCCGGGGCGAATCCGCCCTCCGCCCCCGTGTATTTTTTTTGCTGCGGCTGCATTGATTTAATACATGACATGAGATACTTTTGAGCTTGCGACTAACACAAAATCGGGCTCTAAATCTGAAAAATACTTGAAATAAAGCTCATTTTATGGTACCCATATTTCTTACAGACACGCGTAAGATACTCGATTTTTCAGATTTGGGTAGCGGGACCGCCGATTACATCGCTAAAATGTGATATTTTAGGATATATTTTCCATTGCAAATGTGGTTCTTCAGTGACTCTGGCATGGTATGGTATGTGTGGGATATGTGTTATGCTATTATGCGATGTATTTTAAAGGGATTTTATCATGCATCCAACGGATCGGCCGAAAACTGGAGCTGGTCGATTACCCCCTCCTTTACTCTAGATCTAGAGTGTATGTTATGACTCTCGAGTAAATCTAGATGATCTGATTCTGAGTTAGACCAAAATTTCTGTCTCTTTCGTTCATTAGCCTCTGATTTGGGTAGGGTCGGCTCCTCTCTTTAAAGACAGAAACCGACCATAGGCGCTACGGTGTAGGTTACGTAGGTGGATTGATCTATCCACCAAACTTGGCCAAACTTATGCCCAAAATATCTGGTGCATCTCACATTGAAAATGGGCTATTATATCGGTTCCACTTACCAATTTGACTGAAATAATCCGTTTATTGGTCCCTTTTTAGGAAATTATGGGTCAAAATCGACACCCATGTTGAAAATCTTGCAGCCGTATTTTAAACTCTCGCTGCGCATGACGTTATCTAAATCTCATCCCTTCCAATCTACAGGCAAGGCAAAATAATTATGAAGGAAAAACTGTGCACGTCTTTACGAACTCGTAGCTTTCTTCTGGCACTAATACTAATAACGTTGAGCCAAAGGCAGCCAGCGATAGCCAATCAGAAGGGCCCTTGTAGATGCCAATTTAGGAAAATGAGGCTCAGACCGGATCAACATAATGCGCATGCGCTAGATGTAAGCTAAAGTTCTATGTGCCCTACTTTCATTGTTTGGAGGCGAGATAAGATCGAACAAAACATCTGGGAGTGTTTAACTCTGATAAAGTGATATGTGCTCTGCATCAATATTAAAAACTTAAGGGGGACTACAAAATCGCCCTTTAAAAAAACTTATTTTATAGGTTGCAAAACTGCACTGCCAACTGGACCGGTAGACACTAGAAACATGGAATATAACAGTATTTAGCAAACAAACTTTTGATAGAAAATAATGTATTAGATGGCCATAAAAGGCAACACAAATTATTTGAAATTTCTTTTAATACAACAATATTTTTTCTATTATAGACCTTCACTAAATGACCATTCAGGGAAGATGATTTTGAAGTCAACCTTACTTTGGTTTGAGCCCCATAGCTATAGCCATTTCGAAATGAGAGTGAAAACTGTGAAAGATGACATCATCTTTGCATTGAGACGGAGGCTTAACTTTTTAATTTCATGAACATCATTAAAATATGAATATTTATTAGCTTCTATTTCTAACAAGTCTACACAGGCCTGTTACACTAGCTTGTCTCACTTAAAGTCCCTTATTTTATGTCTTCACACATGGCATCAAGCATTCAAGCTCGTTCACAAACTACCCTGTGAGAATCAGAAGAGTTTCAATTCAATTCAATTCAATTCATTTTATTCATTTCCATTTTCAATAAAAACCATACAAAGGTGTACATGATAAGCATTTGCAATATAAGAAAATTAAAATAGGGAACTAAAAATTAATGCCAAATGGATATTAGCACTGATTTTTATTGAATTAGACTGGATAACAGTCTACACTTGGCATATCATTGTCAAGATAGGAGATTTTAAAAACATGATAGCAAATTCGTGCATGGTAAGCTGTGCAATAAGTGCATGTGTGGGGGGAGAGAGAGTGATCAGATTTTAGTTGTATGCATTTTGATGTTCAATGCTCAATGTCAGTAGGAATTGGTACTTCTCCCTTTCTCTGCTCATAACTTTCTTAATTATGACTTTTCGGTTTCCTTTTTTCCCTTTCTATTCTTGTTTTGATAACTGTCACATGAGTATGACACACATTAAGGAGAGTAAAGCTTTCAAAATACTATACTCACCTGAATATGGAAGAAGTCTATTGGGAGCTCTCACAGAGGCTTTGACGCATTAAAATGTTCATTAAAAATAAAAACACCACAAATGACGTTTAAAAAATTGATGTTTTGATGATATGAAATTTTTTGTTAAAGAAAATTACTTGAGCATTTTATATTTTAATTGGCTTGATGTAACAGCTAGCCCTACAGGACCATGAATGTTCCTCCGAGTTCTTGAGTAACGCTTGCTCCCTCAAGGTCGCCATGATCGATTGTGATGGACACATAAATCATTTATTTGACACATAACAATGAAGCATATCATGTCATTTGTTATGTGTGTTTAATCCTCTTTTCCTTTTTTTTCTTCCAGATGTCCATGCAAGGGTTGATGTATCAACTTGACTTGCAGCTGAATGAGAGGCCAAGGCTTCCAGTACTAGTTTAGCTGATCATTAGGAAGCAACAAACCAACAATGTCTCTCCCAATAAGCACCCTCGCCCCGCTCCCCACTTCTTGGGAGCCCATTGTGTCGCCTCATGTGGAGCTTGCCCTTGCCGTCACCTTCATCGTTCTCTATGGACTCCTCTTCTTATTCATTTACATCCAACTCTTCTTGATCCTGTACTACGGGCATAAGCGCTTCAGCTATCAGACTGTATTTCTTTTTCTGTGCCTGTTCTGGTCGGCACTAAGGACTACCCTGTTTTCATTTTACATTCTCAATGCTTCTGAGGTGAATATGCTTGCATTTATCCTCTATTGGCTTCTGCTTGGATTTCCTGTATGTCTCCAGTTTACCAGTCTGTGTCTGCTTATCTTATATTTTGCCCAGGTAAGTCTCAACTACACATTTTTTACTATTTCATTCCTTTTGTTTCTCATCTAAGTATTTTTGACATATTAGCACAATTTTGGGTCTTATCAGAGCAACCAGTACCCAAAGGGCAAGTCCTCTCCAAAAATATATTACTTTCAATAGAAGCAGAGAAATAAGACAACCAATCAAAAAAAAATTGAAGAAAATTGGATAACTAATAAGAAAGTTGTGAATTTTTAATGATATGAAAAACTTTGAAAACCACAAGACAAATTGGCAACACACCCATGAGTTTTTGACGTCATTGCCTCACTATCCACTAATTGTTTTCTTTATATTGATAATATAAATTTCCCATTTTCCCCCTAAGAATCTTATTTCCTCATACCAACATCCAAATTATATTGATAGTGATATGTTTTTGTTTGGATACACTAATATAGAGTACATTTTTTCAGATAAATCATGAAAAATGTGAATTTTGATAAAGTATTTATATAAAAATCAATAATTAGGAATACAATATTCAGAAAGTAGTATCAATTCTTGACAGTTCATAAAAGATTTTGTGAAATATCATGCACGCAATTTGATACAAATCATAAAACCTGGGCAAAGGCATGAGGAAATCAAGTTTTGGGGGATAAAAAGGGAAATTAATTGGATTAAATATATGAAGCTTCAAGCAATTGAAAAAAAGTGAGGCCATGACGTCACAAACTGATAACCAAATTCACAATTTGTGTAGTGATTTCCATTGTTCCATATTTTTTCATATTTTTTCAAAAATTCATAACTTTCTTATTTTACTCAAATTTTGTTTGCTCTGTTTCTCTTGTTTTTCTCCATCTGTTAAAAGCAAATAATTTTTGGAGTGGATTTAGCCTTTAAAAGTCATTTGGCAAACGGTATCTGAATTTCAAAGAGAAAATCACATTTCTAGAAAGTTCTTTTTCTGCCCTTCATATGACACCTCAATCAGGAAAAATGAGCGAGGAATAACAAAGTTCTGTTTGTTTATGTGATGCTTGCATTTCCATAATTTTATTAAACGAATCCGTTCCACTGGCTGCCTGCCTTAACAACAAACAAAGAAGACAAAAGACTTCATGCATGGCTGAACGTCAACAAAACTTTATAAAATTCCCAACATGACTCGGGCCAAATTTTGTTGTTATTCATGTGTTTCTCTTTTGAAGTGAATGATATCAAACATGTGAAAGTAAATTGTAATTTGTTGTAATCCCTTTTATATATTGCTATTGATAAAGATTTTAAAGTGAAAGAGATAATTTGATATTTTTTCCAGAGCTTCTTTTGTTTTGAACAACTTTTCAGCCTTTTTAGAACACTGTTGTATTTGAAAGTGGTGCTGATGCTGATGATTATAATCCTTTACTCATTATTTCTAAGTTTTATTTGAGGTGTTCACACTTGTACAAGCATTGCTTTTTAGTGGACCCCTCTGTTTCCAACATGTATTTCTTAAATTTGTTTTAAATGCTTATAATTGATTTGTAATTTTTTTTTGGAAACATGAATAAATTTGAAATTTGAAATTTGAATTTGAAAAGCATTTATAGCAAGGATAAATTATTGATTTAAAAAAACAATGCAGTGCATCAGTCAACTTTCGAATTGAAAAATAGAATGGATGGTGTTTGTTGCATTTTTATCAAAATAAAACCATGTATGAAATTTAGAGGGAGGCAATGGATTAAATAGTTACAATGATGCTGGTGAGGTACACTGTAAGAGAAATAAGTGAATGAGCTTTGACGAAGCAGGCACTAGAAATGTTGCATTGTTATGGGACATGATCATCTGCTTACACTAATTTGGTCCCTTGAGTGATGTCACAAATCTCGGTAGTGTTCGGAGAGATCTCCAAATGCGAAAGTGGAGCAGTATTTTACCGTTTTAAAATGATGATAAACATTACTTTGAATGTTTCCAAGTGAGGAATTTTGATAACTTTGTTCAATATAACCCTCCCTTATGCAATAACACAAATTACATCAATATTTAAAATTTTATTTTACAGGTGCTTTAAACATTAAATATTAATATACATTTTTAAATGTTTAATCTACATGAACGTATCATTCTACATGTACATGTAGTAAGTTGTGCTGTTCTGAGAAAAGGGGCTAAAGAGATGACCATGATGAGGAAGTGAGCATTACTATATACCTAATTAGAACAAAATGAATACTCTTTCCATTCCTTATATCTGTCCTTGCCTCCTTGGATGTTACTTTACATTATTCTAATACCAAGGTCACTATAAGGCCTTCTTCATTTCTAAAGAGATATAGTTTAAACTTAGCATAAAATTACAATATTAACATTGATAGTTATGAACAATACAGTACATGTACTATTGCTCATCCATTGTAGTCTCTTATTGACAATAATAAAAATCAAATAAAAAAGTAATGAAATTTAAAAAGTGTCCCTTTTCACCTGCCCCTTTCCCCTATGTTCTGCAAATGTCAGGACTATGCCCTAGACAAGTAATCTGCTTTGTATCTCTAGCTGGGTTATTTTTAGAGTTCTCACAGGAAAGGGACCGTTGGCTTCGTTAATGCTAAACAGGATTTCTGCAACATTTCCTTCTCGAGTACATGGTTAAGCTCAGTTCTATTTTTGTCTTGCATTTCATTACTGTATTGCTAGTACCAATTAACATCAGAACTTTAGAAGACTGATATTGATTGATTTTTTTTTTGGGGGGGGGGGGCAGGGGAGGGTAAATGAAGTTAAGGTTATAATGGCATCATGTGTCTCCCCATTTTTCCCATTTCTTTTTTTTAATTGTTGTTTTTAAAAAGAAAAAAAGATTTAAATAGAACAAAATGTAGAAGCATTTTGAAATAATTGATAGGTTAATGGATTCTCGTCTGCCTTCATGAGAGAGTATTTGAGCTGTTGAATTACAGGGGAATTTGTTTGTAATACTAAGATTATGAATATCAGTCTGTGATGATGGGTGAATGTAATGCACAATCAGACTTTTTCCCCATGTGACCAACACTTTACAGAAAACATGTTGTTAATCCTAGTGCTAATAAGTATTATTTTTAAGTTTAACATTTTAAGTGTAGAACTCATAATTTTTTCCCCCTACTTATAAATCATGATTTCACTGTCTCCCCTGCATAGCAGAAGTCTACATGTACATGTAGTTGCCACTTTTCTGGTGGCGGCGTCAACATCAAAAACTTAACCTACATGCAAGGTTAAGTTTTTGAATTGTTATCATAATTTTCAAAGTATACATTCCTTTTCCATGAAACTTGAACGTAAGGGTTATCAAGTATCACCAACATGTGATTAGTGTTTTAGGTGACTAAGTCAAGGTCAAATGTCATTTCAGGTCTGCAAACTTAGACTTTGTTGTGGCATCAACATCAAAATTTTGTATTTTTAGCATAATTTCAAAAGTGTTCAAATTCCATGAAACTTGTACACAAGGTTATCAAGTATCACAAATCATATGACACAAATTCTAATATGAGAATTAATAAATCAATTTTTGTAAGACATGTACATGTATGTATGTACATGTATGTTCATATTTCATAAAAGTTATCAATCTTGGTACAAATAATAGTAAATAATTCTTTTGATGATTCTTAGGCAATATTCACTTCAAAATGCTGATTATATTCAGAGGATTTCATTTTGGGGGGCCTGCTAACGGGCCACCCTGCCTATAAATAATGTCCCAACCTCAAGTTGTCATATCAAATTGCTTAATGCAGGCAATACAGCCAAGAGCATTTCCCTTGTTATGTCTTACCAGACTAATCCATCAAAGCACTCAATTTATTTTTTCCCTATTTCAATGATTTCACAGGTGATATTAAAAGTGCGAGTGCGATTTGATCCTGACCAGTACCGACGCTACAAGTGGCGCCTTCGACTGGCCATCATCATCCTGCCCCTGCTCTTCACTGTGATCAACCTGGTCTCAGGGATCTTGATCCGTGTGTTAGACGGCGAGCATGCCAAACACGACACACTCACCACTAGAGTTATCCTCAATGAAGGTCTCTTCCTCCTTGCAGCAGTCTGGCTTTCCATCTGTATCTGGAAGATAACACACATGACGTCAGCCAACGTGCTCCTTGAGGCAAGGGTGAGTGTTTGTCATAGTCTCTACTGCCTCAGCATCTTTCTTTCGTTAATGAAGTTTCTTTAAAAGTTTTTAGTCTCTCTAGAGTCATTCTTTGTATATATAACGAATAGATTGTTAATACAATTTGTTAAAAGGGATACGAGTGTGTATATGACAGAATACTCATTTATGTTTAAACATCTACCCATCTGTTTTTGAGATGTTCTAATGTACATTATTTGTAGTGTTTGATCAGATTGTATCAAATCCATAAAGAACAATTATTGTGCATGGGACCGTTGAATTTAAAGCATGAAAGATCATTTCAAAAGATAAGCCTACCTGCCTGCTGATATGTCAAATTTTCCTGCCAATTATAAACTGCAATCAATACATGATTAAAATCGTTATAAATTTTTATTTATGATTTTTATTAAAGAATCCTCCCCCCCCCCCCCCCCACAAAGTACTCTAAAATGCTTTAAAGGACGTTTTGAATATACAGTATTTAATACAGGCCAAAGTAGTTTGGTGTTCGAGATGTTTTGAAGTACATTTTGCCAACGTAGATTAGGTTCTTTTAAAGTTAACCCTAGTTTGCCATTTATTTGATAATTTCTCATCAAAATTCTGCTTTTGATTGATCCCCCTTCCTGCATTTTATCATATTGAGACTGAACCAGAAACCATTCATAATGCAGGAGTCTTTCGTACAAGTATGGGATAGACAAGATCTTCAGTAGGATCTATCCCATCTCCTGTCTACGTCAGAGGCTTAATATTGATTACCCTGCCTTTTAAAAGATTATTCTTTTCTAGATCATACTTTCAGCCAATCATAGGAGGTCTTATTAGAACTTTACAGACATCAAAATGATTAATGCCAGCCAAATAGTTCCATTTTTAAGCACATAATTATAGACATATTGTAATTCCTGAGGTTTTGCAAGCATTGAAATTGCACATGAAAAACAATGAGATTCAACAAAAGATTTGATGTGAAGGTGTAATACTACTATTATCAGATCTTTTGATTTTCAAATTCTTTTAAGGATTATCACCAAAGTCAAATATATGTCAAGGTACAGATTATCACCAATATCAAATATCTTTGACCATGAAACAAATATCAAGTACTATGAGTCATTGCCCTTGTTCTGGTGATCAGTTCTATGTTCTCTGTCTTCAGCTACAAACCAACTCTTGAGACTCCTTCAAATCTGGCAAAGTAAACAGCCCCACAAAGATGCCCCATGTTTTTTAATGTGTTAATGAATTGCAACTTATTCACTATTATAAGTTACAGAAATATGAAGTGTATTACACTTTACGTAATCGTTTTTAAAAAAACTGTGAAACTGCCTCAGAAAACAGAAAGGTCCATTATGGTACTGCATTTACTTGGTAAATTTAAAAATAATGATGTCTGAGATGACATACACGATCTCATTATTTATCCATGATTGTGCAGGGAACCACAGTAGGTCAAGCCTGTGTTGCATGTGTAGTCATCATCCTCCTGTATGTGACCAGAACTGTGTACAATGTCATAGCTGTTTCCTGGGTCCAATGCCCCTCTTTTGGATACGACTGGATTAATGTCTCAGACCAGGTTAGTGGCATCTTGCTTCATTCCTTGATGTAAGTAGGTTGGTCTTTGTACACATATCAAATTTGGAGGATGAGGATAGAGAATCCAATAAAAGTATGCCACGTTCATTTTGATTATGCACAGACAGACAGTAGGAGTGTGAGATAAGATCTAGATTAGTGTCAGTAAGACGGTTCTATATTAATTCTTGTATGCAGAAAAACTAACTTGTAAAAGATAAAAAGACAAGGCCTCACATAATCTTTGTTGAGAAGAAAGTCTTCTTTTTTTTCTTCCAGATTTTGTTTCTCCCCCTGATTTTTCCCTACTTTTTCCAATTTTCTTACCCAAAAGGGGGGGGGGATGTTGTTACTTTAGGTGCCACTTTTCCCCTGAATCCTTTTTTTTTTACAGAAGGAGGAGGGGGGGGGGTGGTGGTTCACCATAGGAAGACGATCTGATTAGATTTTGGAGCACGTAGGTCAAAGGTCAAGGGTCACAGAGGTCAACTTATGAAATTCCATACATTGAGATTGTTATCATAATATCTCAAGAACCACTGGAGATTTAAACTTCAAACTTAATGATAGTGTGTATCACCATAGGAAGACAATCTGATTAGATTTTGGAGCACGTAGGTCAAAGGTCAAGGGTCACAGAGGTCAACTTATGAAATTCCATACATTGAGATCGTTATCGCGATATCTCAAGAACCACTGGAGAATTTTCACTTCAAACTTAATGATAGTATGTATCACCATATCATAATATCTCAAGAACCACTGGAGATTTAAACTTCAAACTTAATGATAGTGTGTATCACCATAGGAAGACAATCTGATTAGATTTTGGAGCACGTAGGTCAAAGGTCAAGGGTCACAGAGGTCAACTTATGAAATTCCATACATTGAGATTGTTATCATGATATCTCAAGAACCACTGGAGATTTAAACTCCAAACTTGTTTAAATTGCTTTATGGCGGAGGCATCATTTTCGACTGCGCGCAGTCAAAATTCCATCTAGTTTTTTTTTATTATTATTATTATTATTATTTTTATTCATTCATTCATATAATAAAGTTCAATGTCCCATTTACATTTTAAATATCTGCATGGTTGATGCTTTCTCTTGATATCAATTGATTATTCATACTTCCTGAGTTAATCCTTGTAATATATCTGTTCTATTTTGATGGTTAGGCGGACCTAATTACGCTGAAAGGGAACCACTTCCTAGCATTTGGTGTTGTTCTGTTTGTCTGGGAGTTTCTGCCTACTTTCATCCTGGTCGTCTTCTTCCGTGTTAAAAGATTTGCCTCAACTGTGGTGAGTTGACGTTATATCAACTTCTTATTACCATCTTAAAGGTGAAGGTAGATTACTCCAGTAATACTAGGTATCACAGAAGAGCTGCGTTGAGTGGGCACGCCTCTGTTTTTCAGTACATTTTAGGGGGAATTTAGGGCTGATTTTAACCTTTTTTTTTTTGGCCAGGGGGGGGGGGGCACGTGCCCCCTGTGCCCCCCCCCCCCCCCTCTGGACCCGCCACTGCCATACCTTCTATTGATGTGCCAAAATTTATTCCCCTACCATTAAAGGTTTTCAATTTAGGTAGACTTGAAAACGCACAAAAAAGCTTAAGGGTTCTTTTAAATATGAAGGTTTAAGAGTTTAGAGCCATTTTCAAATGCCATTTAAAATTAATTTACATAGATTTGATGGTCCAAACTTACAGAAATAATTAAGCTATATATACCCCAGATATGCTGAAATTCAGCCCCTCTTGAAAGACACTCTTAAATCTAGCTATGTTTTAAAACCCATGAAAACTTGTTCTGGCGACGCAAAAAATAGCCATTTGTCACACGCATCCAAATGGGCTTCGTCTAATTATTTGAAAAAGTCCACAAAAAAAAATATTTGTCTAAAGAACCTGAAAAAAAATAGGCATGTAGAAATCCATACAGAGAACAGATTTCTTGAAAAGAAAGGTGAATCATCAATTAATTACGAAATTATGTCACCTTGAAAATGGCTAATTGTCAGTTATAGCCTAATTACGCAAAATTTGACCATTTTGTCTCTTTTGTAAGTGGCCGTATTTTCAAAAGTACTTATTCAAATTTGACAAATGAGGTATCAAAACTCCTCTTTCCATGTGCTCTAAAAGGAAATTGGCAGGGGAAATGAAATGTAGATACTTTCAAACTTTAGCTGTGATACCTACCAAAGCCAGTAACTAATCCATGCTTGTAGGGTTGGTGTTGGGGTGACTAATGCTCATGCAAACGGTACCAATTGTGGAAACAATTAATGATTGCCCGTTGCACACATAGAAAATGTTTTGATTTTTCAGAATATGATTTGATAAAGATTTGAAGAAAAACATAGCAAAGTGAATTCTAAGGAATATAAAAGATGAAGATCTAGTGATTCTCTAATGTACTATTTTATATGTTTTGGGTGGCAATGCTTTCTTTGTAGATCATGCTATCAAAATGTTCTTTCTATTTCAATTGCAGATTAAAGTAAGTCTACAGGACCATGAAAAAAATTCAATTTTGTATTTAGAAATGTTGAAGAGATTATTCTTTGTGTGTGTTTTATGACATAAGGAGCTATTGCTGCTCAAGATTTTATTTTTAATGGTATTATGTGCAGCAGAAAAAAAAGGTCCACTCCCTTCCATTTTGATAGTATTTATTTCTACTATTATATTTCAAACTACTGTACCTCACACTAAAAGCTTATATGTCCTTATATTTATTTATCCTATTTGTACACAGCAAATTGTTCCACAAGTAAAGTCTGGTAGCAAAACACCATCTAAAGCCTACTTCTTTGACAATCCCAATCGCTATAATAGTGATGATGATCTGACCAGAACGGTTAGTACTACTGATATGAGACAGTAAGTATATCACTATGTTTCAGTTTCTTCATTTGACAATCAAAGAAGTATATCCTGACATTTTGGTTATCTGTTTTGGAACTATATTATTGTCTTAAAGCATGACATTTTGAACAAAGTTCACGTCATTGATCTCATATCCTTTGAAAATCATTTCTATGTTTGTTACATTTTAGCCCTTTCCTGTTTTTGTGGTGATAACCTTCAGAATCAGAAAGTTTTATGTTGATGTTGTAAGTTTATATTTCAACAAAAAAATATGTTGGCAAATTTCTAGTTTCTGAACAAATGCTATGTCATTGCATAGATATGAGTATTTAAATTGGTCTTCCGCATTACAGTAGGCTCACTGTTTTTGTAGGAAGTCGCTTATTTTGTAAGTCATTTCCTTGTTCTGCCACTGTCTTGCATGAAATTATAAACAGAAATAAAGATTAAATACAGTTTATTTCTTGACATGTCAATGAATTGCTACACCAGATTGAATAGGAGATGTATGTGGAATTTCTCAGTTACATGAAAATGTTGATAGTGTCTTTTCTGGTGCTTCAGGCCAGTGCTAAGAGCGAGTAAAAATATACTTCAGACAGAGTTAGCAGTAATCTCATGTTATATCATGTGTAGCTGTCAAGTGTGTACTTTTTTTTATCTTGCAAGATTAACTCATACATGTGTAGTTCCGTAGATGCACCTTCCCACTTCCTTGCTTGAATATATATATATATAAATATATATATTTTAACAAAATTCCAGCATGCATTAACCAAACATGTCTGTAAAGATGAAATGACGTTACACTCATTTTCAGACCTTTAATACCAGGAATGCTAGGCTTAATTGTTGTTACAATGAAAGAGATTTTAAGAAATTGTTTTACACACATAAAGAAAGTGTTATATTGAATTGGAGATTACTATATGTACCACTTTTCTGTTCTTTATCATCCATCCCTTATTACAGTAATTCAATGAATGACATTCCATCGTTGATAAACACGCCGCAGAGTTTGCCTCAGGTTGGTTATGGTGCCCTGTTTAAAAGCAACAGTTATTCAGGTCAACATCATCATCCCCTGCCAGGCACCACACCACCTCTCCTATTCTCTGGCAATGCATCATTGTCTGGTGGCAACAGCAGTCAGATTTATGACTGACATAGATACATAGATGCGGGACTCAAGGATCTGCACAGGGTGGAATGAGTATTTTGAATGATATGTCATGAACATGTATGCAGACTAAGTTATCAGGACTAAGTATTTTCAATGGACTTTGGATGATGTGATATGAAATGAATTATTTATGACAAAAATATGCCTCATCCTAGGCTTCACAGTACGACAGTAGTGTAATATAAGGAAATCAATTGATGCTGTACGTGTATGTTAGTTGAAATGTATGATTTTGAACACAAATGTTGTTTTGCTAAGGAAATGTGTTTATAGATGTAATAACAATTTTCCTCTTCCCTTCATAAACCAAAATGATCCATTCCTAGTATAAATGTATGCTCTTTATTTTCATGATAATGCTTTACTTAAATAATTCCATGTTAATTGCCGGTGAATATAACACTGTTGTCATAAAAATATTAGGTTACTTTAAATAGCCACCTATAGTGCACTCTCACAAAATCATATTGATTATTGTAGAGGTGTTGTGGTCTAGTGGATAAGTCACTAGACTGTAGATCACAAGGTACAGGATTAAAATCCCAGCTCGGCACTAACGTCCTTTGGCAAGACATTTATCTACATTTGCCACTCTCATTCCAGATGTAATATGGGTACCAGATAGGATGCAAACGTTAATCTAGTTTGCTCAGCAGTGTGAGTGTCTGTAAGATGGCACCTGGCCGGAATGCTCCCCAGGGAGTGCAGAATGTGCATACATTGTGAGCGGGCAAGCCTGAAATGATGACCGAAGTGATAATATTTCTTTAAAGCACTTAGCCAACATTGTAAATGTATTAAGTGCTATATAAATGCAGATTATGATTATTGTAATTTTAAAAGCCCAAACAGACACATTTCCATGTCAGTTGACTGTGTGTTGACAATTTAATATTTGTTAATTACATGTTATACTAATCGCTATGTGATTTTTGTTGAGAAAGCTGTTGCCAAAGAGTGATTTCTGTGAAAATGTTTATAATGAGACTTCAAAAGTCATGAAATTATATTGTGAATCTATGAGATTGCTGCGTAAGATAAGGGAATGATTGTTTTGTGCATTATTGCTGCTTCTTAACTGAATGCTGTCTGTATTGTTTGAGGTAATGCTGCCTTTAAAGGATAAGAATATAAGATCACAAAAAATTACTAAAATAGATTGGGAAATGAGTTGGCTTATTTAAAGTCTGAAGGGCTTCTTTTTCCAAACAGGTTGTGGGTGGGTTCATATCTCTCATGAGCAGATCAGATGTCACAAGTCTGTCCTCTGTATAAACGTGCCCCTCCTCTTTTCCCAAACAGTTGCTAGAAAGAGAGGTTGAACAATGTTCCTCAGACAGGATGTCAAACGGAAGTCCTTGGAGAGGAGAATCAGGGCCACACTAGGTGTGTGCCTTCACTCCCAGCCATCTGAGACTGCTAGATGATGATTATTAATTATGATAGTAATATCAATAAAAACACATATAGATATTAATTTTTGTGTGCTTTTGATGGAGTTTTTAATCTCCATTCAAATTTTATTTATACAATATTTGTAATTCAACTTAAAAAGAAGTATGCCATGTTATGAGGAGAATAAGAAAATCTGTTAGATATAATCTAGTATTGTGTGATTTATTTTATTTATTAAAAAAATATCTGTAAGAGTAACATACCGAGAGGGTTGATCTTTGGAAGTACATGTAGACATGAATTTTGATGGGAATATTATCTCTGTGTTTGTGCCTTGTTGGTAATGGAAAATGTTATATTTTTCAAGAGTAACTATCTTAATGTATCATAACATATCATAAATAAGTGGTATTGAAAAAGCAGTCACTCAAAAGTATGGTATAAGTCGACTATAAGTTAGATTTGTTTACACAGATATCAATGTTGTCTCGTTTGAGTTTAGAGGCTCAATTGTTTCTCTCTTTAAATATTCCTGTATTGATTCAAAAGGAGCCTTTTGAGGTACCACCAAAATTGTGATGAGAAAAATCAGCATTATACTACTACTATGTGTACATATAAATGTTTGTTCTATAGCATAGTAATGGGTTATGTTCATCCATGTACATATATAGGTTTTTACTGCAAAGTACTTTGAAAGTTAATAATCAGAGAGATGCTTTTAAAGGTAATACAAAGTTTTGGTTGAGGGTAATGAATTTGGTTCAAATGAACATATTGGAAGCATATGTGATCCTACAATATTCAGTGGTCATTGTAGTGGTTGAAATCGAGTCTAAAGTGATGAAATAGTAAATAATAAACTCGTTATGTTGTATAGTGCCCTCTCAAGACTGATATTCCTTTAGCTTTCAAACAATGTTTCTTGACTACAATCGACCAATTTGCTATTCTCATCTGAAAATTATATATCAGAACCAAAACCAAAACCAAAACTTTGTACTACCTTTAAACAATATATTCTTTAACTTGTTTTCCTATACAGCTCGTTGCATTTCAGTATGAAGTTCTTTCTGGTGGCTTGAGTGCAGTTCAAATAATATATGACAGAGATTTACTTGTTTTTTGCAATGTGAATAAATGTATAATGCAGTATTAGTAGGTACTGTCTATGAACATTCCAGTGCAAGGGGAAGGAAATAGAGATAAACATATCCCGCTTATTGACCAAATGCATACATTTCCATATGTGATTTGCAGTTCCTTGAAATAATTTGAAAAAATTCTATAATATTTATAAATGCAATAACTATTTTGCATTCATAAATTGTTTTATGAAGGTGATCTAATTGTCATGAAACACACATTATTGGATGTCTGATCTAAACTAATATAAATCACAGTATAAATGTATGGTGAATACATTTTTGCAGATATGTCAGTTGACTGATGTGTACCAAAATATGTATAATCTGCTCCAAAAATCATAAGTTTCTAGTCCCTGTGCATTGCCAAGGTGGTGCTAAACTCCAGGGCCTGCTGCACAAAACTTACCATTGATAGTAACTTTGCCATCAATGGTAACTACCATGGAAACCTTGTTTTTGATTTGCTGTTTAGCCCTGTTACCATGGTAGTTGCCATTGATGGCAAAGTTACCATCAATGGCAAGTGTTATGCAACAGGCCCAGTGTTCAAGTTATATTCATCTTCTGTCCCACCCAAATATGCCCTATGATATATTACAAACCACACTAGGATTTATCACAATAGGGTTTGTGTCATTACTATATATTTGATCTCATTTGATTTGGAGGTTGTACATGTAACTTCAAGGGTGCAATGAAATATCAAAATATCATAGTTTCAACCTTAATAGAGATGCACATCAGATTCTATGCTAAGATGATAGATTTACTATAAGTCACAAATTCGTTTGTTTGCCTCTTTGTAAACACTGATACCTATATCAACTCGGTAGGTAAAAGATGTGTGTATAATAATGTACTATTATGGCAATATGTTATTTCATTTGTATCACATTTTCAAGCATTGTATCTTAATATTCCTAGCTCATCCAAAAGAAGGTTCCTCTTTAATATATTAAGCAGGAATTGTTATAAATAGAGAAATAACTTTATACAGTGATAATCTTTCATTTTTGACGTAAAAATGTAATTCTGATTTAAAGTTTTAACTCTTCAACTTGAGAAAAATTTCTTTCTCCACAGGGCAAATACCATGATTGTTTTCTGCCCAATTCACCCACTTCAGAGGGCCCAAATACAGCTGAGAGAGAGAGAGAGAGAGAGAGAGAGAGAGAGAGAGAGAGGGGGGGGGGGAATGGGTTAGAGTGGAACTCATGAGTGTTATTTGTGCAATATGTAGAAGGGGTACGGGTATGGCCATGTAGTCATTAGAAGAAGAAAGAAAAGGCTGGGTTTGTATGGAATCTTCAGTCTTTTATCGGCCCTCATGAAGTCTATTCTGATCATCTCAATTGAAACATAATCTAATCCCTCTGTAGAGAAAAAATAGTGTTCGCCCCATACTATGGTGAAGTTAGAAAAAAGAAACAAATAGAGAAGAAAAAAAGGAAGACTGAATGAGAAAGTTTTGCTTTATATATGCTAATGTGCAATTTAATCTATTATGCACATCTGAGAGAGTGGTCTGATAAGAAGTTAAGGAGTTTCAGGCCTTACATTAAAAATATATAACCGACATGTAGCAAACGTATATTAAGAGCTCATTTACTTGTGTTTTCTCTCCTATTTTCATTACAATGTTCAGCAATATTTCTAAGCACAATTTATTAATTTATGTCAATTCTGTATTTTTCTCATAATGATGTATAGGACATTTGCCAGTAATATCCATTATTAGAACAATCAAGAATTATATAGGTACTTGGTATAATCTCTTTCTATCAAGTCCATAAGTTCAGAAATTTGTTACAATCAAATTATTAAACAATCAATTTAAAGATGGGACAACACAAATCTTTTCTTTTTCTATTTGTATTCCGGTTGCTAGTAATATTTCTTTTACATTTTTCTGTTGGCAGAATTACAATGCAAATGATTCCAATTCATGTGCGTAACATTTGTTGTTTGATGTTCTTGTATTCCTTTGTGTACATTTCACCGCCATTTATGTATGAATTATATTTTGTAGACTTAACTCCTAAAACAAAATGAAATAATATTCAGTAATATGAATCTTGAAAGTACTCTGTAAAAAATTAAGATGTATGTAAATGAAGTATTTGAGGTAAGTATTTAAGGTAATGGCATACAATATCTAAAGTTATATCCTTAAATTTTGAGCAAAATGGAGATTTAAGAAGTAAACTGAATATTTATTGGTATCTGAAAGTGAAAGTGAGAATGATTGTATATTTTCATTCTGTGATTGTGATCCTTTTTGTTTATCACATTAATCATAATTCATGTAGAAGATAATATATATATATATATTTGCACCACCTATTCATATTATTTTGGATAGTTTGCTATGCCTTGTTTTGTATTGTTCATGTATATGTACTGAAATGAAAGAAATCTGTTTTCTATTTTGATTGATTTAACTAATTTTGCGCTTGTATCCACAGAGTATTAAACTGAATAAACTATGTTATGCACATTAGGACTTATCAAGCAAATGAAGCCTTTATCTCACCAATGATTGAATATGCGAGACACTGTGTGGGTGAAAGATATATTAAGACAAAATAAACAGTCTTGACATTCGTTTCTGTCTTTTGCAGTTTAATGGTAATGATATGACAATTTGTAGAGCTTTGTATGAAGTCAGATGCACACAAGAATTTTCATGGAAAAATCTACAGCTTTGATACATACGTTGACAATAAATATGCAAACGTTTTCAATAACTACTTTAAAAGTTTAATATACTGGAAATCATCTGATTATGCATTAATGCATATCAAGGGGACATCTGCACTCAAGATATCACTTGATGTATTATATAGTAGATATAAAGTTCATTGCATTGGTTATTGGTAGAATATAATGTTAAAAATCAATAAGAATGTGGGAAATGATTCCCAAACCATGATAAGGGTTAAAACTCTCATCTTCTGCCAAAATTATCTCTTCTACTATCCAATTTTGCTGCTAATTCCCAATACAGATAGAAATAAAGACCTGTTATATCATTAGGGTATATAAAATATCATAAATACAGCTTCAATAGTCTATACTGGGCATACAATTCACAGAGATATTCCTCTCACCAACAGTAATTGATTCTCTCTAAGAAGAAGAAAAAAATTCTATTCTATTCTTGGTGTGAACAAATCATTCAAAGCCTTGAGGTACTTTTGCTGGCGAATTGCACAGAAATGTTCAGTTTTGTTCTTGTGCAGATTCTGGATGGGACGATTACACAGTGATAGAAGATGATGATTCACAGCATTTTTATACATATATAGTGCCATATTTCTTTAAAAAAAAACACATTCAAAGATGCAGGCTCCTGCAATGAAGTTTTTTTCTTCTATTTGCCAAAATAAGTAAGTTTTGAGGCATGATTTAAAGAAGGCATCTACTTAGCAATCATGGTTAGCATTGCGATCAAACTTCATAGGACTTGCACTTTACTCCAAAAATTTAAATATGTGTGTAATATTACTTAATAAATCTCTCCTACTTTTTCATTTATTCTAGGGTAAAAAGCAAAATGTTGGCTCCACATTACGGGTGAGGCTCGCATGTTTATGTGTCTCCTGATTTTTAAAATATTTTAAAACATCTGTAGTTGATCCTGTCCTAGTTAATAATAATAATAATTACAGTGCTTATATAGTGCCTAACACTTACTTTGTCAGAAGTCTCTAAGCACTCTACAATAATGCAGCATAATTACCCTGGCTTTAGCAGTGCAGCTGTTACGCGTGCTGCATTTCAAGGAATAAATTCCTAGTTATCCCACGTTAGGCGAAAAGCAATAAGTTAATTGTTGAAGATGGCAGTTGATTGTAAATCACTGATAAGCAAGAGCTCTACATGTCAGTGACATCAAGTATCTGAATTATCCTATCATTATTTATCAAAAAGTAATCCAATAGCTTTAGTAAGAAGAAAAAGTTACTGTTCAACTTTCATGCCATCCTTTGATCAGAAATGAATGAAAATAAACTCAGGGCACCATGAAGAAAAATCAATTAACAAAGTAAACAAAAGTCAAGTAGAAAACAAAAACTGCAATATTATATCTCAAATTAAATGGAAGCACAACGCTTATTACTAAGGCAAGGTATTCATAACTCAAAAGCATAACTTTTGTTTATTACTGGTAGTCTTAAATCTTCAGGCGTTCATTCCCTTAATATATAATACTCTAAATAGACAATGTGACATCTACATACACTCATCCCCTCCCCCAACCATAGATATCCTAGGTGGCAGGTCTTAATCTACAAAATATTTTGTATTCCTTCGTGTCAAAAAGACTTGACTGTCATAAGAAATCTTATGTCTATATTTGTATGACTCCATATGCAAATACATGTAGTTTATAGCATACAAATGCAGTGAAAAAAAGTTCATTCCATCTGATTTAAATTTGCCATGACATTTTTCATGACCTCTCACTATAGTCAAAAGTTCTCAGAATACTTTTCAAGAATAGTTCTTAGAACAGCACCTTATGGAATTTAGGCTATACAACAGCCTCAATATATGGTTACCAATGCGGCACTAGACATATATACTATGCAAAATCATAGTCTACATGATGAAGATCACACTGTCAAATAATAGTCTCACCATTATCAATACCTATCCAGCTAATTCTCTTGCTAAATTTGACAATTTATCACGTCTCAAAAACTTGGATATATATAGATAGTGTATAGACAGGTTAATGATATTGCACAGTTTCACTTTCCTTCGATACAAATAGAGCAAATATTCTGAATATAACAGGATTCCAATATGTCTCTATGATACTCATAAAGATTCAATGTTACAGTAAGAGCAATTACATGTACGTACAGGTAAAAGGAAAACAATTTCAGTCACTTTGAAGTGAGATACAGCATTATTCAGCATGATGATATCTATATCCATTAAGAGACAGAGAGAATGGCCCAATATGGTCATATTGCAGCAGTGTCATCTGCAGTGCCATAAGCAGTATGTTATCATTATGAGATCCAGGACACTGAAAGCATTGAGTCACTGATTACACATTATGAACATTCTTGGGCAGATGTGACTTGGTCTGGACTAGTAGTCAACTCTCCTGTTTGCCTAGAGTTTTATACCGAGTCACATCTCTTAGATGGTGACATTAAATGTCAGTACCCATTTGATTGAGACAGGGCTAAATATAGAAATTAAGTACATAAGCAATATTACCCAAGTCATACCATTGAGACCGATATGAGACGGACACCTCACCAACTATCAGACCGAACAACAACAAACATACATCACTCTGAAGAGCAAAGATTTGTTAGATTAGCGGTTGGTTTTGCAGTGTGAATGGGGTATAAGTACACTCAACTTCAATCTGAACTGGTCCTTTCTCATCCCACTCATGTCTGTTATCTAATGGATTAGTTCACTACTAATGAATTCAAATTCATATTCATTGGTCATGAGTTGTTTAATCAAGATACAAGTATATTAGTTGTATCTTGTGGTTTCTGGAATGATTGTGTTCAAGTCCATGATCCCACGACTGCAATGAGTTGTAAATGCTAGGGCATACTGGTTGTCAATTTCTTGTAGTATCAGGTTCCTCACCAAGCTATGTACGTCCCTGTTCATGTTAATGATCCTACAGCTTCAATGAGTTGTAATGCTAGTGCATACTGGTTGTGTGTATCTGGTAATAGTCCCACAGCTTGACCAGCAAGATGAGCAGTATCAGAGATAGGTGGGTGGGGACATCGTAGGCTCTCTCCAGACTATATCATGACAAAGAAACAAAAGCATTTATGCTTCCATGATAATAACCATAGCATCTCATTATAGTTCAATGTTTACAGGGGTAAAAGAGCAAATGACACTGAGGTATCCAGAAAGACGCTATTCTTTCCATTACTTATTCCACAGTGGAAAATAAAAGACCCCTCTAATAAAGAATAACCTTAACACTACTTGATAACATAAAAGTGAGTAAGGAGCCCTAATGTTACATTAAAAACTTGAGGTACAATTTCAGGGGTATAGTGGGTCACATGATAATATGTAAAGTAGTTCCTTGTGTTATTCCGAAGACAAATTTTATATTTGTCTGTTTCTGTATCATGACATAACGGTTTCACTGTTTGAATTTACATTGCACCACATAAGTCATGACGAAAGATACCATTTTGGAATGAACCTAAAAATGAAGCTTGCCAATTCTTACCAATGCTTTGAGCCATGTGATTAGGGATGGTGGTAGTCTAGATTGTCTTTCTACAGTCACAGAGTCTGCTCCTATAATCAACTCCTGGGCTAACCTTTGACCCACGATGTGAATCAGCTGTACTGCCATCTCAGTCTGCTCTGCTACGGTCACTACCAACTGTGAGAGTTAATCAGGGGGAGGGAGAGAAGGTGTAGACAAACATATTGGTAAAAGACAAATAGTTTAAATGTCAAAATGTGTAAGATCAGCCTTAATTATATTTCTAACGCTCATATTAGATTTCGTATTTACACTCAAAAGATACTGGCCCTTGTTGATAGGTTACAACACATGACGTGCCTTACCTCATTATTCTACTATAACATTCCGTAATGACAATTCTGTCAAATAATAAGGCCAAACAAGGTGTTAGAAAGATTTCTTTTTTTGAGATTTTTGTTATCTTCACTCCCCTAGTCCATATAATCAGTAATGAAAATCAAATATTGACTGGAAGACTGGAAAACCATTGGATAGACAAAAGTTCAGACACTTTAAGATTTTCAAAAAATATGCACCGAAAAAAATTAATTAGTAGCTTCATTAAAGGAGAATTCTGCATGACTAATTCAAGGTTGAATTACATGTGGTCTCTTCATCCAACGTTGTCTTGATTGCTACTCACCTCTTGAGCTACAGCATCATAACCACTATTGTAAAGCTCACACACAAAATGCCTCTTCACATAGTCACAGTCAACCCTGAGAGCTAGGGCTAGCTGCTGGGCTACATTACACCACACATAGGCCAGGTGGGTCTTAGGGAGCTTCTTAGGGTTGTCTAGGGGTACAATGTTACCCCCCTCATCAGTGGACACAGTGCTATCTCTCCTATCTGAGGTGGTTCTTCTGGTGGTGTCTGGTTCAGACTGGTGGTTGGGTGGGAGGGTTAAGGTGGCTGCTGTCACCAGACGTAATAGGAACTGGCAAGAAGAGAAAAAGGGGGAAATTAAATTAAAAAGCAGGAATTGTGGTGTTATTTCAAGGGATCAGATTAGGACTGAAAAGTTTATTTTCAATTTCAATTAAATTATTTCTCCACACGAACGAATAACAAGGCAAAAAATGCTCTTCCAATCAACTTTGTTCATGATCTTTTTTTAAAGGTCACCTGTGTTCACTTTCTTCTTTTCATTTCAGCCTCACATGCAAATAAAATTCTCGTTTAGTTTCTAAACAAATTTTGTCAGCAAAAATGACCCACAAAGATCAATTTGAACTATTTCCCATTTTTATGGAAAACCCCTAATACATAAAGTCATGATTTCATAAGCCCATATATAATCCCACCAGACAGTATCTCCTAATTATTTGCTGTCTTCAATTCACTAATCCATTGTCAATCACAATATAAATATACATGAGCACTAATACTTTCTGTCTCGATTTCACTTATTCAATCCCTTGAATCAACTAATCCATAGCAAATATCATTTGATGATACTAAATAATGCTGTCTTGATTTCACTAATCCATTGTCGATCATAATAAATAATGCCCAACTTTCATTACCCCTAAAATCTACTTCCTTGATTTCCCTATAACACAGTCAGTCCCGGTTGATGATGCCCTGTTAGATAATGCTCTCTTGATTCCACTAATCCATAGTTAATCTCATGATTCCACTAATCCATAGTTAATCTCATTTGGTGATACTCTTTAATAATGATCTCTTGATTCCACTACAACACATACTTGATTTCACTGAGCCATCGTCAATATTAGTTGATTAATAACACTCTCTCCATTTCACTAATCCATGTACACTCTTACTAAATAGATATACCTCACCTGTTGCCTTAATTTGACTAATCCATAGTCAATCTCATGGGTGGAGGGTATGAATGTTGTACCCAGGGCCTTGAAAAAAGCATTCTTGGTTTTGTAGTCAAAGAACTGCAACACCTGTAGTTAAGATAAAGCACATTGTTACAAATCACAAACGACATTTAATATACATTGTACTTTTCTTATCCAGAGCAGAGAATCTCTAACATGAAATCAGCGACTATAATGGAACTTTAAAACCAGGAGTAATTTCTTTTTAAATATCAACAGAATATATACACACAATATATCATATATCTTATATTAATTGTAATTGAAAGATTAAACGAGAACTCGTTTGAGATTTAATCTCAATTATATAAGTAATATAAAATGAGGGTTTACGTTAAATGAGACCCCGTTAGTGCGCATGCGCTAATCAGCAATATTCGTAGATAGCCGAGGATGTGCCTACTGAACCAAGCAGAAAGATAACGAGAACTGTAATTAATAACAATACCCAGCACTAGGGAGGGTAAGGGCGGGACGTAAACCCTCATTTTATATTACTTATATAATTGAGATTAAATCTCAAACGAGTTCTCGTTTAATCTTTCAATTATACTACGTAATACCAATTTCGGGATTACGTTAAATGAGATTTCGAAGCTCAGTAGGCCATCCGATCCAGTGCTCAACACAAAAGTATACATTATTGATGGAATAGCAAGCTAAAGCATGCTGCTAAGAAGGTAAACCAGCTGACCTTAAAAAGGCGATGCCAATTCTAGGACATCCTTTAGGACGCCATGATTGCACCTGTGAAATTGACGTTCCTGTTCTCTACTGGTTTCATGTAATAATTTCGAAACGTCCGTTCAGAAGACCAGCCCGCCTGGGCTAGTATATGCTTGATAGGCAGATTTGAACTGTTTGCTGCTGAAGTTGATGCAGCTCTAGTAGAATGAGCTTTGTAGATGTCTGTGTCGATCCCTGCTGAGGTCAACGCTTCCTTCACCCATCTGGCGATGGTCTGCGTAGTAACGCGTTTGTGCGGTTTCTTGAAGCTGATGAACAGATAGCGTTCCTGTCCCCTGACGCTCTCCGTTCTGCGCAAGTAGTGCCGCAAGTAGTTAAGTACACATAACCTCCTGTCTGGTGGATATGCCTTCATTTTCAAGTTGAAGTTCACATTCCCTGGTTTTGTTTGCTTTAGGAGGTCCTTAAAAATGAACAGAACTTCGCTGCCCTTGATTTTCATGTAGTCGAGATGCAAGCTGTGCAGTGACTGGACCCGCTGGGCCGATATCAGCGCCATAAGTGTGCAAAGTTTCATAGTCAGAGTTTTTAGCGTGAGCGAATTCGCTGGTGCCCACTTCCGTAGATAATTAAACACTATGTTCACATCCCAAATCTCCTTATATCTTGGCGCTGGAGGGCGCAATTGAAAAGCTCCTTTACAAAAACGACTAATAAGAGGATGAGTTCCAACTGTACATGACGAATCCTCAAGTACTAGGAATGCAGACAAGGCGCTGCGTGCAGAATTTATAACACTATAACTAGCTCTTTCACTTTCAAAGAGTTCTGACAAAAAATCAATTACATCATTGGATCTCGCCTGGAGATAGTTCAAGCCTTTTTTATGGCAGTATGTCTTCCATTTCCTTATGTAAACGGCATAGTTCTTTGTCGTTGATGCTCGCCACGATGCTGCTATTACATTGATAGCTCTTGCACTCAAACCTTTACTTTCTAGTGGCTGGCGCAGCACCTGCAACAAAGCAAATCAAGCTGATTATTAAGCGGGTGTGGCTCATTTGTAATAGGCTGTGCTAGTAAGTTTGGCCTTCTAGCTATGAACATTGGCTCCCCAATAATCATACTCTTCAAAAGAGGGAACCATGGTTGGGTAGGCCAGTTTGGAATTACTAGTAGGCCTGTTGCATCATCGCATTTAATCTTTTGTAAGCATTTTGCGATGAGGCAGAAGGGTGGGAAAGCGTAGAAACTTAATGGTTTCCAGTCGATTGTGAAAGCATCAACTGTTTCAGCTCCAGGGTCAGGCAGCCATGAGATGTATCTGTCAACTTGCTTGTTTAATCTTGATGCAAATAGGTCTATTTCTGGGGAACCAAATTGCTGAGCAATTTCTTTGAATGCATCTGTATTTAGCATCCACTCTGTCTTGTGGTTAAAGTGTCTAGACATGTGGTCTGCCTCTGTGTTTAGTTTCCCTGGTAAATGGGCAGCTGATAGCCATATGTTCCTACTCATGCACCATTCCCAAATGTGTTTGGCTGCCTCATTGCAATCTGCGGACTTGCAGCCCCCCATATTGTTAATGTATGATACTGCGGTTACATTATCAACACGGAGTAGTACATGCACATTTTCCATATCAGCACAGAAGGATTGAACGCCAAACCCCGCAGCAACTGTTTCAAGGTAGTTAATGCCATAATGCCTAGCTTTGTGCAATTCTTTTTCATTCCATCTACCACCTGTGCATGATTGGAGGTTAGTAGCACCCCAGCCAGCCCCACTGGCGTCCGTGCGCAACTCAAGGTCTGGTTTCGGTCTTCTTATTGGTGCAAATGAAGACGTTACATGCTCGACCCACCATTGAAGCTCACCCTTGGCTTCATTTGAAAGTGTCATTTTTCTATCGAAATGACCTCTGTTTGCTTTTAGTGCTGCAATTTTGTCTCTCTCTAAAGTACGATAGAAGAGAGGGCCATATTGGACTGCTGGGAAAGTTGAAACGATCTTCCCAATAACCCTGGCAACATGCCTTATTGAGGGCTCCTTAGTGTCAATAAGCTCTTGACAGAGGCGTTCGACTTCAAGCGCCTTGCTTTCTGGAAGCCTAATTTGCATAGTATTTGTATTCAGAACAAAGCCAAGGAACGTTATCTCTTTGGTGGGGGTAAGTACCGATTTTTCAGGGTGAATAATGAACCCGAGTTGTGCAAGGATGTCAGTGGTAGCCTTAACAGCTGCTTTGAGCTTTTCCTCATTTTCTGCAATGAGGATTGTGTCATCCAAATATCCTACCACAATGTGACCAGCTTGTCTGAGCTTAGAAAAAACTGGCTTTAGTAATTTTGTGAATAGCCTTGGTGCTGTACTGAGACCATTGGGCAGTGCTTTGAATTGCCAACATTGACCATTGACAATGAATTTGAGGTATTTCCTATCCTCTTGGTGGATCGGTACTGTATAATATGCATCTCTGAGGTCGACAGAGGCTAGAAAATTGTCGGGGGATACAAGATCCAGCACAGTGTGGATATTATCCATCTTAAAATGCTTATACATCATGCATTTATTCAATTCTGAAAGATCGAGGATTAGACGTACACCTCCAGTTCTCTTAGGCGTAGTAAAAATATTAGAAATGAATTCACCCTCTTCGTGTACACAGGGCTCAATAACATTTTTACGATGGAGGCTAGTAATTTCTTCTTGAATGCGCTTAGCATCCTGGACACTCCGTTTATAGCGTTTAGCCTTTAATTCAGGCAAGTCTTTAATTTTTTCTACATCAAACTCGATCTTGTATCCCGTGACAGCCCTAATAACAATAGGGTCTGTTGTTAGCTCTTGCCAATTTTTCCTAAAATACCTCAGTCGACCGCCCACTGGGGGAACACTACTAGTACTAGTACTAGCATTAGTCATATCATTTTCGCTAAAAATGAGATCAAAGTGTGAGTCACTAACCTTGTCGTGACTTGGTCTTGGGAGTTCTACTTCCTCCTCTGCTGGCCCATGGGACCCCTCTGGGCACCTGGCGCTTGCATTTGAGGCTGGTTCGGAGCCTGAGACTGAGTGTACGGAGGCTGTCTGCCCCTCCTGTTCTGTCTGTACCCTAAAAAAGGGCCACCCTGCGATCCTGACATTGGCCTGCTATACCCGCGGGATTGGCTCTGTGAGCCCCAGCGGTGCCCCGGTGCATTGTAGCCACGTCCCCGATAGGGATGCGAAGCAAAGCGGTTTTTGAATTTGTCCCTCATTACACCGGCCGCTGCCAGTTGCTGATCTTTGAGATCCTTCACCTGCTTTCCAAGATCATCACCAAACAAAAGTCTAGTAGCTGGCAGAGTAGGTTTGCACAGATGCGTAAACCTTGCATTCAAGTCAGGTTTTATGAGCTCTTTTCGCAGGCAGTTCAGTTCAAGGTTAGCGTTACAAATCAACGCCAAAGCATCTTGCTGTGTATCAGTTATACCGCCCGTAGAAACGGAGCGGGCAAATGCATTGATGCCATGAGTGAGTGATTTCTGAACTCGCTGTAACTTCAAGTCACGGCTTTTTGTCATCGGAGGTAGATTGTCCCATATCACAGGGTTCACCTTTGGTGCCTCTATAATCTGACAATTGCTTGGAGCTGGGTATTTTGCAGTAACTTCATCAAGAACTTTCCCCTCCAATAGGTGTGTCATGAGATATGAAGTAGATTGGGCTATCTCCTCCTCAATAGGATCTCCGATATCCGACGCCATTGCGAATTTTGCGGCGATCGAGGGAATGACAAAGTTATCAGGTTGAGGCATGTCTGAGTCAAAATTCTCTTCCTCCGAGACGGCGCCCGCTTCGGTTGCATCCGCGGGTAGACCGTAAAAATCCATGAGCCCGGTGGGCGGTATGTCATTCCCGTGGTCGAACGGAGGCCGTTGCACATAGTCTTCCCCGCCGGTAGCCCCGGTGGGGCCGCGAGACGAAGACGGGTGTGAGCTGCCGGTGACAGCCGTAGCATTAGTAGCGGGCAACGCCTCAACCACTCGCGCAAGAAGCGCTTCCATTTTATCAAGTCTGTTATTAAAAGTAGAAAATGGAACCGTTGATTCCACTTCTTGATTTTTCTCGCTCATTGCCTTTGGCTCCGAGTCCGACTTTGTTTTACTTTTAGCTTTCCCCGGCCCACTCTTGCTGACTTTGCCAGCCGTGACTTTGCCACTGGAGTTGGGTAATTTTTTCTTTCCGTCGGAGCCCGTGGCTCCTGCGCTACCAGGCGGGGCCTGGGGTGAAAGCGCGGACGGAGGAAACGCAGCAGTGCTGCTATCCATTTGAGACATTACAATTCTATCGATAAAATAGTAAGATTAAACGAGAACTTACCGTTTGAAGTTTGA